TCATCCAGACAGCCGACAATTGTGAGGCTCTCTTTGTCGAGATCGATCTCAAACACAGAAACGCCAAACCACAAACATGCGAATCTCTCATTGTTGGCGCAGTATACCGCCCCCCACGCTCAAATGAGAACTACTTAGAGTGCCTGTGTAGTTCCATACATAACATTTCCAGCAACAACAGGAAATCCATTGTGTGGATAGGTGGCGACCTTAACCTGCCCGACATTGAGTGGTCCAGTTCATCTGTCATTGGTCATCGGTATTCACAAAGCCTTAGTAATAATTTCATCACCACACTGGCCGAATCTGGACTTGATCAGATTGTTTCGTTTCCCACCAGACTAGACAATACCCTAGATCTGTTCCTCACCAACAGACCATCATGTATTAACAAGTGCCTCCCAATCCCAGGCATTAGTGATCATGAGATCGTCTTCGTTGACACAGACATCAAGCCTAAACGCCAAAGACCCGTGAGAAGGAAAATATACCTTTGGAATAAGGCCGACATGCAACAGATCCGCTGTGAAGGAAATAAGATGAAAGATGAATTTGTAACCAAATTTGATGCTTCATCCCCTGTCAGCGAGATGTGGGACACCATAGAGTTAAAACTCTCCCAAATCTTGGACCTTGTTCCATCCAAATTCACATCTAGTCGTTTCAACCAGCCATGGATAACCTGCAAAATCAAGCAGCTCAGTAGGCAAAAACAACGTGCTTACAACGAGGCTTGTTCCCATCGCCGTCATCGCAATCACCGTCACTGGGCCAGGTACAAAGTCCTGAAGAAATGTATGCAGAACGCATGCAGAGAAGCATACAACAACTACATCAACAACATTGTGTGCCCAGATCTCAAGTCAAATCCCAAGCGTTTCTGAAGCCATATCTCAAGCAAGCGCTGTGACAACAATGGTGTTGCCCCTCTTCGTGGCCCCAGAGGAGCTACATACACTGGAAGTAAGGATAAGGCAAATATTCTCAATGACCAGTTTTGTTCTGTCTTCAACAAAGATGAGGATCCATCCACCATGCCAGTCCTTGGCCCTAGTCCATTTCCTACTATGGATCACATACAGATAAATGTCAACGGCGTAATCAAATTGCTGAAGAAAATAAATCCTCATAAAGCCACCGGCCCAGATAATATTCCAGCTCGTCTGTGAAAGAACTTGCTAACAGCCTTGGACCTGAACTCTCCATCTTGTATCAAGCCTCGTTGGACAGTGGGGATCTCCCTGAAATATGGAAATCAGCCACCGTTGCACCTGTGTTCAAGAAAGGAGATAGGAATAAACCAGCCAACTATACAGGCCCATCTCACTCACAGCCATCTGCTGCAAACTTCTAGAGCATATCATACACAGCTCCATCATGCAGCACTTCCAGGCTTACAACATCCTGTCTGACAATCAACACGGTTTCCGTAAAGCCCGCTCATGTGAATCCCAGCTCATCATCACCATGGATGACATTGCCCACAACCTGGATGAAGGTCTTCAAACTGACCTCATACTATTGGACTTTTCGAAGGCATTTGATAAAGTTCCCCATCTTCGTCTCCTCCATAAGCTGAATTACTACGGCATCAATGGCAGTGCACTTACCTGGATCAGCAACTTCCTTCAGGGTAGAGTCCAGAAAGTTGTCCTGGAGGGGGAGTCGTCAGCTCAATCCCCTGTGTCATCCGGCGTACCCCAGGGTACTGTCCTTGGCCCCCTTCTATTCTTGGCCTATATCAATGACCTCCCAGGCTGTATTTCTGAAGACTCCAGTGTTAGACTGTTTGCTGACACAGTGCTATCTACCGTGTCATAAACAACATCGACGATGCCGACCATCTCCAGCAGGACCTCAACACCATGCAGGAGTGGGAGAGGAAATGGCTCATGGAGTTTCATCCAGAGAAATGTCAAGTACTTCACATCACCAAACGTCGCAAACCGGTAAAGTTCACTTATTCCATCCACAACCACCCTCTGAAGGCAGTACCATCAGCTAAATACCTAGGGGTAGAACTCACTGACAACTTATCCTGGAACAGACATGTAGACACCACCTCCAAGAAGTGCTTGAGATCCCTTGGCTTCCTACGACGCAACTTGAGCAACTGCCCTCGTGAAGTAAAGACCCGCTGCTATACCACCCTTGTGCGGCCTATTGCTGAGTATGCCAGTTGCGTATGGGACCCTTCCACAAAAAGGAACATCACCAAAATTGAATCTGTCCAGCGTAGTGCTGCCCGGTACATTATGAATAACTACTCCAGAGACAGCAGTGTCAACACCATGCTGAGTAAACTGGGTTGGGAGTCTCTACATCACCGAAGAGCCATCTCCAAAGTCACAATGATGTACCGGATCACCAACAAACTCATCGACATCCCAGACAACCACCTTATCCCGGTCAACTCATCTACCAGAGGCAACAGCCAGAAATTCCTCATCCCACCCACCCGTACAACCTTACTGAAGGGTTCCTTCTTCCCAGACACCATCCGCCTGTGGAACTCACTGCCCCAGCAAGTTGTTGAGTCACCAACCCTGGATGTCTTCAAGACCAGAGTGAATGGTGTCACCTTCAGATAACCAAGCTGTCCCAAAATAGCTCTTTTTTTTTACTTGCACATATTTGTCTTTTTATGCCTCGAGTTATGTCTGCACCTGCTTGTTTGCACTTTAACCAATGTGCGAGTATACTCCAGCGGGGGTTTCTGCAAAGTATAGGAAGATGATAATGATGATGACGTGTGTGCATATGCTCTAAGCCGTAAGGTGTAACATGAATATTTACATTCTTTTGATTCTTAACCAATCAGACTACTCCGTCCAAATCTGGTAGCAATTTCCATAGGCCGTGTACAAAGCAGAGAACAAGTTATTCAAGTCGGTTATTGGAGTAGACGTACAGGCATATTTAGGTCGAGGAAGCAATAACCTTCCCTGCTTGCAAGTGCTATACTGCACGCTACACGGTACCTTCTCTACGGGATTGGTGGCTTTTCTGACAGAATTCTTGCTAAAATCCGACAGAGCTGTTTGGCAAGAATAAGTCAGAACAAGGACAGAAGTAGTACGTTGCCAGAAAGGGGGTGCTGTTCCTGTAGGTTTGTGTCTACAATACCAGAGTTAGGTGGAGAAAATCCAAAAGAGGCAGGTTCAACAACAAAGCCGACCCAAGGATGGGTTAATGCAAATGGGCTTAAAGCTGCGGTTCGGATAGCCCTAAAGGGGATGGGTCCAAAAAATATATCCGGAAAGCAAGAGCAGTAGCAGTGGTGTATTCCAGGATAAAAATTCAAAAACATTGGGAACATCCCGCTACATTTATTATTTTAAAGAAAATTACATACTTGTAGAGTGGGAGAATTTAACCTAAACATTTTTGCTACATGGGTTGCCGAGGTTAGGTAGGCGCAGCTCTATTTGACAGAAATATCCCGAGTTGATGTCCTGAGGGCTCAGTGGCGCACCTAAGGGGGGGGGGGCCTTGAGCCCCCTCTCCCAAGCGGTTGTAAAAAAATTGGGGGGGGGGCCCCCAATTTTTTTTAGTTCCACAATTTGACCGAGGTGATACATTTATGTACATATGTGGCCTATTCTCTAGTAGTATAATGGGGGTATAAATGGCGCCACCAATGTCAAAATAGTCTATTCTCCCCCCCCCCCCCTTCAAAAAAAACAACAAAATTTTGACAATATTTGTGAATTTTTTTGGTGAGCCTCCCCCCCCCCAAAACCCCAAGCCAAATCCTGGGTGTGCCACTGTGAGGGAACAACAGCAGAATTGATTTTACACAATGGGAGTGATAGAAACCTATAGATATAGGTGACCATGCATTCTGGGCCTTTAATAATACAGACGGAACACACAGAACAAGTGAGAACCCTTTTTTTGGGAATGATAACATGGTGCATTTATAGCAGAAATACTGTACAGCACAGCAGCACAAGTCTGCCTGGCTACAAAGCAAGGACAAGGGTGACAGTGATACCAGGTATGCAGCAGGATGAAGTAGCGAGTAACCCTTTTCGTGAAAAAGAAGAAAAACGGAACCTTAACAGTGAAACTGTATGGCATGACTGTACATCAGAGAGCAGAGTTGCGGAGGTAGGACAAGTGGAGCGCAGTTTGACAGGAATCCTTCACGTCATGCACATTTTTGGTTTCCATAAAATTCTGAGGGTAATTTTTTTAAGAAATCAATGTACCAAAACTAATTTAAAAAACTCTGACTTTTACACGTTAATTTTCCTTTTCAAGGGGCCCTGAAGCACGCCACATGGGGTCAACTTTCAGGCTCTATACACGTTTTACATGTATGCACATTGTTGATAAGGGACATTCTATAAAAGTAAAACAAAAACATGCGGGATAGTGAAAAAACCCACGGGCTAGTTAAGAGCCTGTTTCAGTAGCCTGGCTGGCTAGTGAACAAAAAAGTTAAGGTCGAACCCTGAATAGCTTTGGTCAATGCCATGCAGGCAAAGCAGCATGACTGCCTAGATGCAGAGTGTGAATTGCCGAGGTTTGGGAATAATGCAGCTCCACTTTACAAGCAACTAGTCATTGGAAGAGGGGAGTACAGAATTATGAAAACATGGTGCAGGTATGAGGCAGGTGCAGCTCTGCTAACTCTTCCTGCCAAATGCATCAACAAAACTGTAGAATACTCAAAGATAACAAGAAAGACGTAGACGACAACTGCAAATAATTTAGTGTAACTAAAAAGGCTTAGAAAAAACAGACAACAGCAAATGTAGGAGCTCTTGCAAAACAGGTCTTTCCTGTGGCATGCGTCAAAAGAAAAGAGGACGAGTCATGGTGGCTGGGCCACACGGTACTGTGGGAAATAAATCCTAGTGAATGGCTAGCCCCTCTAGGAGAATATTTCATTTGTAGTAATGCTCTACGGGTAAATTAAGCGTAGTAAACTCCACTTTTTTCCCTTATTTAGCCCTATAATGTTTAATGAATATTTAATAATGACTACATACGTGATGCTTCCTCTCAATTTCTTTGAGTATAGCTCCGTGTGCATCTGTCATCTTGTCTATCATTCCATGTTCATCGGATAGATTCTGTAAGGAAATGGAATACTAGAACTGCATTACAAATATATAATAGAAAAACAAGGTCCAGTGGGACATATTAAATTCAATAATTATCTCTTGTAGGTGGAACAGTCCCAATACTGCAGTTTGGACAATGACGAAGTGTCCTGGCTGTTATTGTCCTGTTTTTTTTAACCTGTGATTTCACTGGTCTAGAACAGTTATGTGTTGCAAATTATCTCCGACTTGCGGGCTAGCCAGTAAACCTCACAACTGAGAACTGCAACTGTGCAGTCTCAAGTCTGGCAGGAAAGTTTGAAGTAATCAAAAGGTTACACTGCAGTGATTTAAAGATATAGTCCATCATTTGTAATTTGTGCATTTTGTTCGTTTGAAGCAACAAAAGTGCTCAAAATCTGAAGAAGGGTACTGAACAACTAACCTGATGAAGTTTCAGCTCAGCTTCAGCTGTATATTCCAAGAAAACAGCATTCTAGGATCTCAATTTCAAATCAAAAATTGCTGAATCATGGTTTGAATTGCGCCTGAATTCAGCGTCCGAGACACATTCTCGCTGAGCCAATTGCAGCTACGCGATGTCGCGCATTGATCTGACGAATAGCAACCGGGGGTGCGTGTGCGTTGTGCCAAATAACAAAACGAACTACTAATTAATATTTTGCTACGGTGCGTCTTAAGAAGCACCTTTGGAAAGGCCTTCTTTCATTGATTACTTCAAAATGACAGCTTGCCAGAAAGAATAACTTCACAGGGAGTTTAGTCCCCTTACTATCTTTCAACCAAGTATGTTTTTCAACAATAATCATGCCAGCTACTTTTGGGACAGCTGCAAATGATGGACTATAGCAAGTTAGGCTGCATCCAAATTTCTTGGTTATGGCCGGAAATTACACACACCCATATGGAAGCGGCTGAAGCCACTGCCTATATGGCTCTAACACATAATGAAGGCTACATGTATGAATATGCTCCTTCCCAATACACTCCTAAAATGGGACCATGGTACATGTACATGTAACAAGCATGGTAAGCTGTCAAACTGAAAGTGTGTCAACACACAAATCCAGGATGTGTGTAGATTACAGACTTTGTGGCGAACTGACTCAGAGTTTTATGTTTGCAAAACAGAAAGAATACAAATTTAAAGTGAAAATGATCCAGAAAATGATCCAGAAAATGCCAAAATCAATGGGCCTTGAAGAGCCTCGACTCAAAATTGCAAGGCATTGATCCCTCAAGGCCAAGGCCAAGGATTTTGCCCCCAAGCCTTAAGGCCAAGGCCATGGCCCTAAAATTCAGCCTTAAGGCAACCTTCACCCTTTCAACTCAGCCCTGCGTAAAATCGATCGTTGGCGATCAACATTTTCAGAATATTGTACTTTGTGTTTTCCTCCCTCTTTTGACTAATATTAATACAATTTTTTAGCTTTATAGACTGGCTACCCAATGGTGGTGTTTGTTTATGTATCGAAATTACGTTTTCATAGGTGAAGTGAGAAAGATGCCAGACCTCTGTTGTTTACCGCGCATGCTTTGCAATTTGTGTTGTGACCGTTCGTGAAATCAAGTACGCTTTTTTGTCACCTGTTTTGCCCTAATTACTGCAGAAATATGCCGGGGAAGCTCTACTAAAAACTACAGATAACAAAGAACAACTCAAGAGGAACTTAGTTGACAAAGATGTTTTAAATCTTCTCGATTTGGGCGACAAAGTGATGAGAAAGGAGATAGCGAGACAGCGATGCACATCTTCTGAATGACATGTACTTGTAACATGCACATGTACATTGTACACTGATGTGTATATTTTCCCAGTATTTTTCATTGGCATAAAAGCCATAATGATCATACTGATACTTGAATAATATTCTAAATTTTATGTCACAATTTATGCAAGGAAACATTTAGCAATATACACTCAGTGGAAGGCATATTGTATTTTTACAAAAAAATCCTTTTCGGTCTCATGGAATAGTGAATAACTGATTGCATGGATTGCTTGAAAATGTATACATTTTGCACCAAACCTGCATTATTTATGTCATTTTTGGTCGGTTAATATTACAATAATTGCTTTTTTAGGTGTTTTCTCATTAAATGAGAGTTATATTTTGTAGCAATGCATGCAAAAGTCTTCTAGCAGTTTGTTTTCATACATTTGTGGCCAAAACCTAACAAAAAAGGACTAAAACAACCCAAAAATTTTGGTTTTAAAATGGCAGCCATTGAGAGAGGGAGGGGGTCATAGTTGGATCTTTATCTAATATGTTTTATTGCCTAGCTCACAAGCTTTCAGATGGTATATAAATTACTCAGACATAATAAAGAATACTACTGAAAAGAGTGCAGGACTTGAACTTAGTCAAAAAACCTCAAAATTAGGGCTGATGAGTTTAAAAGGTTAAGGCCAAGGCTGAGCATCAAGGTACTACGTCACTGGCCTATAGACTCATGCATTATTCTCACATGTAGCCAAGCAATTTGGATGATGCCTTACAAGCCTATGTATCTTACTGACTTATTTGCAACATCAGAGTTCATTGATTGGAAAATTCAGAGTCTTGCCAACAGAGTACAACCACTGAAATTCCAAAACAATCCCAAGATGCCATACGATATGTATAGTCTACCTCAGATGTATATTGCTCATCTTGGAACTGATCGATCTTGTCAGCAGCTTTCTTGACAGAAGGCATGTCCATGGCGTAGATATTGAGAATAATGGTTTCTTGGAGACTTTCGTCATCTGTTGAAGCATCTGCAGTGGCACCAGATATAGCACCAGACAAGGCAGACATGAACTTCCCTGTCAACCAAATGCAGACAGTTGCATACAGTAACACACAAAATAAATCATGCTGTTCTATCTCTTTGCACTGAGCAAGAGGTGCATTAAAGGGATATGCAACAGAGTTTCAAATAATCCACTTTACTTGGGTTCAAGAAAGTTCTTTTTCTGTCTTTGATTTGCCATTTCTTAATGCTGAAGCTATTTTCATACCCATGAGCATGAAGGTGATGTCATATAAGGCACACTGGTGCAGCTGCTATGGCATCAAAAAGCTCCGTCTTTTTTTGAATTCTGGTTCTTTTTTTCCCTTTTTTTTTTGGGGGGGGGCATTTCAAGTTGAATAAGTACCTGACAACCAATCACTGCTCAAATTTTATGTACAGATATAGTATTTCAAAATGAATAAAACTGCTGCAATCAAAAACATTAAGGCGGATTGATGTTCCGATCTTAAGATCTACCGCAGAGGCAAAATGACCAAAATAGTATTTGTTTGATGCAGGTGGTGCTACAAAATGAGTTTAGTAACAAGTTATTTACCCAGGCCTTTAGAGAAAAAGCCTTTTTGCTCTTTGAATGAAGTGCCAACTTCTTTCTGCAGGGCATCTTGAAATCCAGAAACCATGTCTCGCTGGAATATGACTAGACGGATGAGACGGAGATATTGAGGCTTCTTACGGACTGCAAATTCACCGACAGCTGTCATTATGGCACTAGCGCAATCGGCAACTGATTGACCAGCTTGGCCTGAAAAACAAATGTTGTTTTGAATCTGTTTTATTACACTAAAATGTATAACAGTATTTAATGAGGGTATCCTTACTACATGTAGCTTATGCTGATAACTTTATGTACACACAATTTAGTAAAAATCAGCAAATTTAAGCAATTAACAGGTTGTGCAACATCGATTCATAAATGTAATTACAAAAAAAATATATACACCTAAATATATTTTAAATTGATTAGTTACAAATAAATAAATTGAAAAAAAGAAGAAGTTTATATACTAAAAAATAAGTATTAACAGACAGTAGACTCGGCCCAAAATACAAACAGAGAATTTCAAATTTTGTTCAGAAGACAGTGCTTTTGGAAATTTAACCTCAGTACATTGTACAATTTGATAAAATTCACATTGAGTTTACTCACAGGATATTTTTCCTTGTAACAGATTCACAGACCCCTCACAAATCAAAAGCCTATTTACTGATCTTCTATAACACTTAAAAAATTTAATGCTATCTACGCTGCCCGTTTTTGTCTCCAATGTGTCTCGTGATTTGTGCACATTAAGTTGAAAATTAGCCAGGCATACCAGGCGTATACCAGAGATGTACGACTTGTGACTCAGACTCAGGTCTTACACGAGTCACACATTTGGCGACTCAAACTCAGGCTTAAATCACCAAATATTATCAGAGACTCGGACTCGACAGTCAGATTTGACACAATTGGACATGGGACTCAGACTCGATGTAATTGATTCTGACTTGACAGCAAAATGACAAATAATGCCCTTTTTATAAATTTGACAATTTTTTGGGCAAAATATTATTATTTAATTGGAATGATAACATTTTACTTAAATTGTACCATGCATCTTCTTCGGTACTGAGTAACCATTAAAACATTATGCTGTTTTACAAGGAAAATCTACGATTGTTTCGTTTATTTTACCCATGCACTTCTGGGTTTTGTGTCACTTTTTTTTCTTGAATCTTTTAAGTGACTTGTGACTCGGAATCAGACTCAGACCCAAAGGACTCAGACTCACATTTGGACATGACACTAAGGAGTCTATCAGACTCGCACTCACGGTTTAACCCTAAAGGGGCCGGGTTATTTTGACCATCTCTCAGCCGGGGGGGGGGGGGACGGATTCCGCCCCCCCCTAAGATCTCGGCCATCGAGTGAAGAAATTTTTTGAAACTCAACACATGCATAGAGCAACTCTTCCTAAACATACCCAAGAAATTTCATGACTATAGGTCAAAGGGTTTTGGAATTATGGCTAATTAATTATTCATATGTACGAATGGCAATTCTGCTCTGTGTACACGACGTATATGCGAAAATTCAGTTTTCACGGAAAATTTTTCGCTACGCGGCAACCCGTGGTCCGATTTTTATGTTTTTAGTATCAAAAGATGCGCAAAGCTCGAGGCTAAAAAGTCATAACAGCTCGGGTCGCGAAAAAATTTTTTTAGAGGCTATCACGGAAAATGTTGGGGGGGGGGGCGGATTCCGCCCCCCCCCCCCCCCCGGCCCTTTTAGGGTTAAGGACTGACTTACACGCAATGAGAACTGTCATGAGTTCCAGCTTCATGCAATTCATACACGATGTCCATCCCTCAAAAATAGGTGTGGAAAGCAATCTTCTTACCTGTGCCCAATGCTGGGAAGGAAACTGACTTGAGCTTGATTTTCTCTGCTTCATTCAAGCTCCTCAGCACAACAGTTTTGATTTCTTCCACTGTTCTGGGAGTGACAACATGGAATATACAGCTGCTCTGAAGTCGCCCGGCAGTAGTGACGTACATCAGTTTCCTTGGGTCTATTGGGGAACAAAGTGATACACTGAAAAACATGTATTGATAGTTTAAACACATTTCTTATTGTGTTGACAGGTTTGAATGTACACGTTTAGCTTTTCTGTAACATGCTTAGGTACATGCACATGAGGAACGCCTGTTAGTACTGTGAAGCATAAATGGTAACAATAAATCGATTGACTTTTCGGGTTGAAGTCAAATGCCAAGACAACTACACACCTTTATCACTCCATTTTATAACCGGTCTCAGAAAAACGAACTTTAACACAGACCTGCCCACCTTTGGAATCGAAAAACTGTATTCTGAGTCTCCAGAAGTTGTATTTTTCATAAAAAAAACTGTATTTTTCAAAAATATGCATACACAGGCTAAACGAACAAATAAATGTGGCTGCAATGCTCCATTTTTAATACATCTTAATTAAAGTTATAAAAAAAATGACCAGAGGTCTCCTTGCAGGTGGTAAACACAATCAAACAATTTGCATGAATACGGATATTGATCATATACCTTATTCATAAACAAACTGCTTTAAAATCTATTCAATACAAGCAAGTCTATCTAAACATAAACTAAAGACTAGACTTCCTCATGTTTGAAACAATTAAACCTACAATGTATAATGCAGTTGAAAATTCATATGACTTTTGAGTATAATCTAAGCTCATTCGTGTTTTATCACGTCGCCGCCAAGTGCCAGATTGATTCTTGAAATGAATCATAATTCACGGGCACGCACTGAATGTTTAAAAAAATGCTCAGGGATCAAACAGAGTTTTATTTTAAACTTGGCCTACCCGAAAAAGAAATCGATTTTTTGCATTTGCTGGCTGATTTACCTGGTTCAGTTTGGGCCGCCCGCTTTAATTGTTGATTTTTCTGATTATTGAATTAGTCTCAGAACGTAGTATCAAACTTTACAATTCATGTTTGACATGACGGAACACCACGTGCACGCACGTTGTGACTATCGTACACGAACAGCAAAATGTATTCTGTGTAGCGTGCGTGCACTGAGAAAAAGAAAGTCTGTTGACTGCACATAAGATCTGCCGTACGTACTCCTGCTGGTATGTGTGTGTATGAATACGGACATTTATTTTTTGAGGCAGGGGTGCCGCTGCTTGAAGTATCGGCACACTCCGGGAATGGACTGGTTCTAGCTTGTGATACCATGTACATAATGTACATCATACAGTGGGAAGGGCGAAACCAGATTCAGTTCGTGCATGCAGTACATCACTTGCTTGGCTGCTTGCAATTTACGTTGTTTCAGCCAATTTTATCTGGCAGAAATCTACACTCACAGCCGATTTGAACTAGGATTTTTCCAGGCGTGTCAAATTGGTCAAAATCCGTATTTTATGGGGGAAAAACGTAGTCGTATTTTCTACAAATTCTGTACAAAATACGGCAGAATCGTACTAATTGGCAGGTCTGTTAAAATATGAATTTGATGTTTTTACAAATTGTAATTGATGGCACTTGCAGACTTTCCTATATAGTCTTGGCCCAAGACTGTATTTGGATATGTTCATATATGTACTGCATGGCGCTGGCAAGCGCATCAAAACGTCATCAACGTAGAGGGCACTATCCTTAACCTTTAACTGTATTAAACTTTTTAAAAAGTGACTGCAAAAAGACAAAGATAGCTGCGACAAAGCCCTATGTTCTGTTTGAACAGACATAGCTCTAGTTTTTACTTTATTGGCTTTTTCGCAAATTTGTGAAAAAGCCTTTCTTTTTGTTTTGAGTTTTGGCTTTTCCGTTGAACAGCGGAAAAGCCTTTCTTGTTGTTCAGATTTTTTCCTTTCTTCTGTTTGATCTTTTTGGGTCCACCCCAAATCCCATTGACTTTGTACACGTTTTTGGTGTGACACACTTTTGACCTAAAACAAAGTCCTATTGCAATGAAACTTACCTCAGGTAAAGACCCTATAGTGAAGTTGTGTCTCGAAGAGTGACATCATGATTACATCATCATGGGTCACGTGAGGTCATCACAAATGTGCATATTTTGAAGGCCTACATCTACAGAACAGTAAGTTCGATTGGGTTGAAACTCGGTATATAGGTAGACCGGGATGTGTTATAGGTAAAAATCGAGATGACAGATGACGTCCTCGTGCGATTTAATATAATTTTTGTGAATTTTTGGAGCTTTAAGCCATATCTCACGAATGCAACATGCAAAATTCAAAAATGTCTTTGTAGTTGGTTTGTCAGGGTAATAGGTATATACCCACAATTTTTAAAAATGTGTGACGTCACGATGACGTCATCAAAAACGTGATTTTCCCAAACGCACATAACAGAAGTTCCCATCATCAGAAAACTTTGTGGATAGGTAGATAATGTCACAAGTATGCAAAATTTGAAATGATGTCACCATGATGTCATCAGTTGATATTTTATGATTTTCTTAATATTTAAGATTTTATTCCGCTTTCACAATTTTACACTCTCTTTCATAGGATCGACGTCAAACTTTGTGCACATCAAGACCACAATGAAAACGTGCATTGACAAATGTTGTTACGATGACGTCATCGCAGGACAAGTGACGTCGATCATGTTTTAAGGTGTAAATTTTAAAGCCCCATATGTGGAGAAGTATAGTCCTGTAACTACGGTATGTTCTTGCATATGGACATACACATGATACAAAAAAGAAATACAGAAAAGCCCTATGTTCTGGTTATCGAACAGACATAGCTCTATTTTTTTTTAGTTTCTTCTTTTTGTGCCAAAGATCCCATAGACTTTTGTACATGATTTTAGTACACGCCACTTTCGGCATTGAACCTTGTCATACATCATTCAAATTAAGCATGTATGCATTGTTCTTATGGAAGAGTGGCGTCATGATTACGTCATCTGGAGTCACGTGATGTCATCACAAACGTGCATATTTTGAAGTCTTATATCTACAGGACTGTAAGTCTGATTGGGTTGAAACTTGGTACGTGGGTAGACCGGGATGTGTTATAGGCAAAAAACGAGGTGACGTCATGATGACGCCATCATGCGATTTTATATGAATATGTGAATTTTGGGACCTTGAAGCCATATCTCGCGAATGCGCAACATGCAAAATTAAAAAATCTTTTTGTAAATGATTTGTTAGGTAATACATGAAGGTATTTGCACAAATATCGAAAAGTGTATGACGTCATCATGACATCATCAAAAATGCAATTTTTCAAAACACCTGTAAGGAAAGGTCTGATCGTCATGAAACTTGGTGGGTAGGTAGATAATGGTACTAGTATGCAAAGTCCCAAGTGACGTCACGATTACATCATCGGTCGATTTTTTATGATTTTCTTAATATTGATAATTATATTCTGCTTCCAAAATTGCAAACTTCCTTTCATTGGATTGACTTAACTTGGTTCAAACCAAGACCACAGTGACAAAATGTGCACTGAGAAGGGTTTCAAGATGACGTCATCGCAGGGCATGTGACGTCATAAAGCTTTATTTTGGAAATATTCTAAGCCTTGTAAACAACCTTTAACCGTATTAAACTTTTTAAAAAGTGACTGCAAAAGGACAAAGACAGCTGCGAAAAAGCCCTATGTTCTGTTTAAACAGACATAGCTCTAGTTTTTTTTTTTTTCCAGTCATTTTGCCCATAGCATTTGTGCACGTTTTTTGTCCCTACCACTTAAGGCACTAAAATCAATCCAATTGCCTTTATACTTGGCACACACTTAGACCAGCACGTGCTGCTGTGTGCCAAACATTGACGTCATCATGACGTCATCATGAGCCATGTGACATCACATTATATGCGATTTTTCTGTTGCGACCATTTTCAAGCAGAATTCAGCTAGATCTCTCAGATTGGGCTAGATCTCCAGAACTACAAGTCCGATTGGAATGAAAGTTGTTATGTACTTAGATCTAGGGATGTGTTACAGATGAAAATTTAAGTGACGTCACGATGACGTCATCAAGTTACATGTGACGTCATATTAAAAATGTATATTTTAAAAGCCAATATCTCCTGAACTACAGGTCTGATTGGGTTGAAACTTGCAATGGTATGCACCTAAACCGGGATGTGTTATAGATGAAAATTTAAGTGACGCCACGATGACGTCATCAAGTGACATGTGACGTCATATTAAAATTCCATATTTTGAAGGCCAATATCTACAGAACTAGGTCTGATTGGGTTGAAACTTGGTATGTACCTACACCAGAATGTGTTATTGATGAAAATGAGAGTGACATCACGATGACGTTCATCACGCAACATGTGACGTCATAGTAAATATGCATATTTTGAAGGCTAATATTTACAGAACCACTAGGCCGATTGGGTTGGAAGTTGATATGTACCTAGACCGGGATGTGTTATTGATACAAATTGAAGTGACATCATGATGACGTCATAATTGGTTACGTGATGTCTCGTTAAAGATTAATTAGATTTGATCTTTAAAAATCAATATACATGTAAAATCAACCATGAGAGACCTGAACATGATTTTTGCGGGATATGATAGAATTTTTCGGGGGGTCTTCATTTTTCATATATTATGTGCAAAATCACGTAACCCTTTCTTCCTGTTGAAACCGGAAGTGCCTTGTAATTTAAAATTGGTGAAAGATGTGAACTAATGCTTTCAACGATGTATGCTCTGGCGGAGTTGTTCTTTACCATAATATTATAGTTATATTATAGATGAAACTTGATGTGACGTCATCATGACGTCATCACGTGACATGTGACGTCATAATTCAAAGCCCTATGGGAATATAATCACATATTATATGCCACCATTCATTATAAACAGAACTACACATCCTTCCTTGATAGAACATATACTTGAAGCTTTACATGTCACACGTCACAAAAAAATTACCGAAACAGCCCTGTGTTTGTCCACAAACACAAATCTAGTAATGCACTGCATAATGGTTATGTATAGCACCTAGATGTATTTACAGTGTGTGCATGGGTCCTTGCTCTATGGTGTGTGACTTGTGGCTTTTCCGCGGAGTTTCGCGTCCAATAAACGCAAAACAAAGGGGAAATAACGAAATTATCGATAGTATTATAAATATTAGTTGTAAATCATGTAAAATCGTGTATGAAAGATACATGTCATGTACCGGTAACTGTAATACACAGTACATGTGATACATACATGTTACACAATGAGGAAATTTATACATGTATTGTGGTGCAAATAATCATTGGCACAGAAAACCTGTGCACAAGGAAAAATCAATACATACATTGACCAACTTTGTGCATTTTCAAGTAGCCCATGTAACAAATTGATTAGGCCTATCAATCAGCTCTTGTGAGTTTTAAATTTTCAAACACCTACAGTGTGATACAATTGCTCAAAACAACAGTGCTTACTTTCTTTTTTTGCAATGCTTACTTTTATCTGGTTAAAATGCACAAGGCTACTGGAGAACACAGACGTTTTTTTATACAATTATGCAAAGCCTCAGAAAATGAATACTATTTGAATTATTTGAAAAATCCAGACAACAATCACCTTTATTGCGATGGAAATCACATTCTTGCACAATATTCTTTCCACCTTTGGCTAGGATGGCCTGAGAAACTGGACCTGTGAATAATTATCAATATACAATGTAAGTTGTTTTTAGTACACATGTATGCGTAAAATCCTCACTAATGCAAAAGTTATGACAATTATAATATTCATGAAATAAATTATCTCCATTTCGGCTGAAAAAAAAAATATTGTGTTTCTGGTAACGGTGCCAAAAAGGAAAGGTCAGAGTAGGTTTCCAAGTACATTTGTACATATCTACACAGTAGACATACATGCACATACACAGTCAAGTAGACATGTTGTAAGAAGGTGCTTTATTGCACAGAATTCCAGACGTCTTTACCACAACTATGGACACAAAATATGTGCACATTGATTTGGGTTAGTAATGCAAGAAGTACATGTACCGTAATTTTCGGAATATAGGCTGAGCATAGTATAAGCCGCAACACGCAAAAATCCGCAAATTAAAATTTGACGTCATCGTATTAGCCACACCGGCGTATAAGCCACACTTTTTGTAAGGACTCCAAATTCTAAAGACTGAAATTCAAAAAGCTCTGGACCAGTTCCAATTGCATTACGAAAGCTATAAAAGGGCCACAAAAGTTGTATAAAAACATTTACAGTCGATACTCTATATATGAGTAAATCATAGAAATTGACGATGAGAAATAAACACCGGGAATTGCTGCTGACTGGCCCGGCCGGTCACCGGCCTAAAAGTTAGCGCATGGCCCAGCAGCATGTGCCAGCGAATGACAACATTTTCCTGCAGCACTTGAGAGAATATGCAACCCGGCCATGTGTCGTCCGACTGGAGCACTACAAATCTTGCCTTGTGGCAACAGATGCTGATTTGTCTTGTCCTAAGAATAAATAGGTCCTTTTTTTACAACAAAACTTATCAAATAGTTGTGATTTCAAATGAGTAGTATCGTCAAAAAATCAAGTTTACGAGCGTACTTTCTTCAAAAACAGTCAACACCATGCTTGGATGAATCCATTAATTTTGCAAGGGGTGACTTAGCCCCTGTTTTGCATTTTACATCGTTTCTTGAATACATTTCCAGAAAAAAATTTATTGTGACGTTGAACAACTGATTGTCGAATGAAGAAATATTTCAGACAAAAAATATTAGCTGTCTGTTTTTTTTTCAAACTGCTGAAAAAATATTGATAATTGTTGTTCCCAAGACAGTACATCCCTTTATTACCACAAATGGTTTGGTCCGGTCCACAAGTGTGTGTGGTGCAATGCATGCATGCATGCAACTCAATGTCACATCGGATGGGTTGGGTTTTCAACGAAGACGGCTTTCGCTCGCTCACGCACAGCCTGCCGGCACAGCCAGTCGGTGGTTTACCCTACCGCACGGTATCGAACCTCGGAAACTTTTCGTTCGAACGTGCCTCCACTGTTTGTACTAAAAAATGACTTGCCCCAAGTAATGATTGATGATTGAATTCAGCAACAGATCTTTTCTTATACCAGTACATTAAATTAAATACACATTTGAATATTATTTTTATTCTTCAAGGCTCAGCCTATAAGCCCCCCTTTGTATAAGCCGCAGTAAACATTTTCATGGGCAAAATCAACACATAGCTGCGGCTAATTATATTCCGAAAATTACGGTATGCACAACTAATTTTATTCTAAAGGAGGCAGAACCCACAATGCCTTCACATGATGTGCCAAAGTACAGTGGTAATGCCTCCACCAGTGCCTTCAGGTGCTTTTCCATATGCACATTTTCAGTCCATGTTGTGCCTGTTGCGTATACGTTGCATTCGTGATGCGTTTTGCGTGCGCGATTTACCTTTCCATATGTGAAGTATGCACAATGAATTTGGTTAGAAACGTAGAAAAAAGAAAATGGCAAGCCATTAAAACCAAATGCGTCTATTGATTGCAGCTGCAGATTACAGAAAAAGAATTCATTCCAATCAAAAACAAAAAACACAGGGTGTTTTCGTTTTTGATTGGAAATCTTCCAAAGCAGGAAAGATAATGGGACTTACCATCATCTTGTAATGGTAGGGGGTCATGGCGCTTGCGCCAAGCATTGTGTATGTGTCCAAATGACAAGCAACGTATACGTACATATAAAAAGGGACGTGTGCTACAATACGAAGTCGATTTTTGTGTCTTTAAAAATGAAATCCATGAATGCAGCGCAAATGCAGAGCAAATGCAGCGCACATGCAACGCATACATCACGGACCCAAAAAATGTGCATATGGAAAGGCGCCTTTATACTCACGTCATCATTGTGGGATAACGCGTGTTTGTGTTTTATGCTGATGGCACTTTTGACAAAATGGGTGCTACACAGTTTACTGGATCAGCAAAAAAAAATTGTAAAACAGAAAAACAGCATAAAACTGAAACTAGGAAAAGATGTGCATGTCAACTTACCATTCAAATCCAATCTTGCCCCAACACTGTTGACAATGCCATCAGTTGTTTCTTTCACAAGGTCTCCCTGTCCAACTTGAAGACAAACAGAACCTATCTTTGTCTGTAGCATTCCTGTGGCATCACGCTGTATGGCCGAGTAAGCCTGGCGGTCAGTGGGACCTACAGAAACATGTGTGATGGGTGTTTGGTTATGAGATCTTTGAATATCTAAAAATGACTGGTTTTGTCATTCAATGCTTAAGATTATGGAGTTGACATACTTCTGTTCAAATTGCAGAGTGGTATTGCAGCCAATCATAAGACACAAGTCAAACACTAGCCACATCCCAAGTCAGAAGTGACAGAGATGGACAATGACAAAGTAATGCCTTAATCACAGTACATTAGAATAGCTTGTCATCTGACTTGAGACTGGATGATTCGTGACTGGCCTTTGCAGTTTTGTGATGACTTGATACTTACAACTTTGATACTAGAAATGAGAAACTACCCAGTGCAATCAGGCAAAGTAAAACTGGTAATAATTGCAAGTAAAACAAATAAAACAGTTCAAAGTATAGTTTGAAACAGGAAGATTTGACAAATGTGTCAATGTAATGAAAAGAACCAAGACCAAAAACCAAGAACACTTACATGGAGATTTGGGCAACTACTGCAGAACTTTACATACTGTAAAGAACTTTTGATTTGAGACAAAAAGATATCCCCCAAATCACGATACTTACCTGTTAAACCTTACATTTGCATGTTTCTCTAGCCTAAGGCTCCCAATCGCTAGCGTTTTTTTACAACAGTAAATAGCGCCCTCAGCGCCCAAGCCCTCAGTACCCGCTTTAGTCTGGTACCCTCGTACTCTTTATCTCTATTGCGAGCACTTAGGTAATCCCTGCCAGCCAAGCTCCATTTGGGGAAGGAGGGTGGGGGGTTTAACAGGTAAGTATCGTCCCCTCGTGGACTCACAAATCACCTTTGATTTGGGGGAGTCCACTTCTGGGACTCTCTTACCTGTTAAACCTTCCATTTGCATAGATTAGCACCATCTGAAGGAGGAGGGCTAGGGTGAGGCTACCATAAGAACTGCTATTATTAGCACTATCTGGACTAGATTGGTGTAATGAGCATGGGCAGTGTTCTTTGTATGTGTAGGCCAATAATCTAGTACGAAAAGTTGATTGTCCTTTCTATCCATCAGGAACTGTCCTGTGATGCCCCTGAATAAGGCCGAGTTGTCTGAATGAACAGCTGGGTGGTCTCAACCCTTAGGGGCTTAGTATGGGTGCAATACCACTGGTGGGCCCGAACCGGACACCAGAGTTTGTCATCTGGGATGGAAGAGAAGGTTTTTATCTCCGAAATACATATATGTGATGGTTGCAAAGATAATGACTGATTCTTTGCCAGGAACATTTAATAAGGGACCAGTCAAACTCAATGTGGTTCCCATCGTACATGACCCTGCTCTATGATAAAGGCATGCAACTCACTGCGTCTCCTGGCGGCTTATATGACTGTCATGTTGAGAGGCCCTACAACTTTGGGGAGCAATGGTTGCAGCATTTACCGAAAGTCCTGCTGTTTGGAGAGATTGTTTGACAATAGTCAGGTGAAGTGTCTCTGGCTCTGGCTGTAGGATCTTGGAGCGAGGTTGAGCAAGGAGATCTACCCCCTAAGGTGGTATAATTGGTGTGTGAATCAGAAGATTAAGATTGATTTATCTTCTGAAACCAAGGCGGACGGGGCCAGAAAGGGGCGATGAGGATTATTTTGCAATGTTCCAAATTTGTCTTCCTCAGAACCTTCAGCGAGAGATTGGTAGAAACACGTATCCGAACATGTTTGTCCAGCTTATGATCGCCCATGCATTGGGACTGCGTGTGCAGTATACACGCAGATGGTTGTTGAGGGCTGATGCAAGCACATACATGTAGCACATAGCGGGCGATCGAGCCTTCGGAAAATTTTCTGGACTACTGATGGGTGTAGTGTCCATTCTGTCGGGATAATTTTTCCCCTGGAGAGAGCCATCTGCCATGAGGTTCAGCTTGCCGGCAATGTGAAGTGCGGCCAATGTTACATGTATGTTGTTTGTGATTAGGAGATCCCAGGTGTGTCGGCAAAGCTGAGGGGATTGTGTGCCTCCTTGATGATTTATGTAGGAGACAACAGTGGAGCTGTCGGACTTCACTAGCACTGCATGATCTTTTATCACCCAATGAAAGTGGCTCAGTGCTTTCCTGACGGCCAGCAGCTCAAGAAAGTTGATATGGAGGACCCTCTTGCCAGAGTTCCAATTCCCTGCAATTGATTCTGTGCCAAGATGCGCCCCCCAGCCCTGGAGGAAGCATCCGTTATTAAGGTCATTTTCGGTTCGGTCGGAATGAAGGACATACCTATGTTGAGGTTGGATGGATTCAGCCCCCACCGTAGATCATTTGAATAGATCGACTGACTGGTATGAGATGAGTTTGGCAGGAAGGAAAAGTGTTACACACTCTATTGGATTGTGAATTCTTTCCTGTGTAGGCACAGCCCCGCTCTGCAGGAGATCCAAATCAGCGCCTAAATAAACCGGCCGTGTGGAAGGTTCCAGCTGGGACTTCTGATTTATCAGGAAACCCAACCAGACTGCAAGTTCTTGTGTTAGACCGATTGCCTTCAAAGTCTTGTCTCTGGTTGAGCCCCGGCGAGCCAATCGTCATGTTCCGTTTCCGCAGAATTGCTTGCTTGTTTGTCTGTTGGAATAGGACAATGTAGGAGTTGGATGTGGAGTAAAGCCTAATGGGGGTGTGCTTGTAAATTCTAATGCATACCCCTGCCTTACGGTGTCCCATACTCACTTGTCTTGACAAAAAAGGGCCCAAATACTTGCAAAATGTTTGAGACGGCCTCCTACGGTACTGGCCCTGTGTAGTATGCCGTGGTGGCCTCCATAACTCAGGGATGTAATTGGTCTGTGACAAAAAAACCTGAAAATTGTATACATGAAGTGCAAACTCCAGTGAGCGCGAAGCCATTACGGCATGGGCTCCAGGGCTCTTAAATAAGCGGGCCCCGGACCCCACATGATTTTAGATGCTCTCTGAGGCAATTACTGGGCACTTTCCTCTGAAATTTTGGAGCAGATTTGTTTTAATTTTAAGAAGAATTTTTCTTCATTGGTTAAAATGTACTCTTGTTCTTATAAAGTTTCTTCTGTACTCAAAGTTGATAACCATGCATTTTCATGTTACCTCGCCATGCTTTGATGTGCTTTGGGTGTTTCACAGTACATTACGAGTGATTTCTTTCCACTCGACGCGTAGTTGATAATGTCGTTGCAAACACTGTAAAAAACCTTGCCAGCGGTTGCTATTTTATCGAAACACTCTTGAAATTCATGCTGATGCCCGTCAATAATAACGGAGTCCCGAAACCATTCCTACCGGAACTTATTTTTCACTTCTTTATCAAGCTCTCGCATTGATAAATCTCCTTGTGACAGTATCGACTTGTTGGGCGCAGCCATGTTGGAAGCATACGTACACAAACGCTCCGAGACGCCGCCGCGTAAAACAACAACGTGCATAGGCCTAATCGAATCCACATGATTGTACTGTACTGTATGCCATTGTGCACGCTGAGTAATATTAGTCTGTACACCTGACCAGCGCAATACGTGCATCTCATGTACTGACACAGGAACTAGACCTAAATAATCATAACCTCGGACCCGAGCGAAAAATCTCATGATTGCGCTAACGGCAACGCACGGTCTTCAACTTCGTTCTCACATTGGGTATTCAATATGTGTGTGCGTTAAAAGATATATCGATCAACGAAGTAATGTCCGTAAGTAAATTTCGGCAAGCAAAACACATTATAAATAATTAATTAGCACATTCTACCCCCTATTTTCTCAACGGATTCACATGATTCACGTTGGTGGACTTTTCAGGGCCCCCCCCAAAAAACCCCCCGGATTTCCAGAAAAAAACGGAGAAATCACATCCCTGATAACGTGTCTTAGGCCAGGGAGTGTATGAGGGTCGAAAGGATGATCTTTCGCTAACCGGAGGTGGACGCACTGGATGGACTTGGTTTATCTTGACCCTGTGGACTACGGTTGGATGCGAAGGCTCAGCCTACTAGCCGGTTGTTTATTCCCCTTAACAGATGCAGTGCTTGCGCTTGTGGGCTTTCAAAGATTTAGTTTGTCTGTAGCCTCCAAACGTCTGGCCTCTGCCTCCATGGCATCTTGAAACTTCCCTTTAAATAAATCTGTTCCCACGAGGGAAAGTGATTCAAGGCGTGCCCTTGCCCCCTCAGACGGGAGAAAAATGGCATCAAGAACATTGGCCATACAAACTGTAGAAACACACATGGAAACTTGGACAAACTGGTCCATGCAAATACGGAAGCAATCGTCCAAGCAACGAAATGCTAGTTCTGTTGTCTCAGGAGATACTGGAGAGTCTGCTTCACAAGAACAGACAAAAAACTCAGACAATAACTGCAGAAAACAGGACACTCGCTACCCCGCACGGGATGCTGTGTCAACTTTCACGAGAGTATCCTCCATTTTATTTCTTTCACGGCTGACAAATGGAGATTTACGTGACGTATGACCAGTAGAGTCGGCCGTAATTCTGTTTCAGACCGTATCTGACATAGCCGGGACTGCAAGAAATTCCTCAAAATCAGACAGCGGTACACGAAACGGCCTGGTATGTTGTCACGAGCGGGCACCATTTCTTTACCACCGCTAGTGTTTTGATCTGATCAGCACATCATCAATCAATCAGACAGGCTGGAAAATCCTGGTCCTTGGAGTCAGTTGAGCCCGTACCTGATGTATAGGATCGGCAGACACTTTGATCTGGCAACGGCGATATGTTGAGCTCTCTGACCATGTCTTTCATCAATGCCAATAACCTTGGGTCAGAGGCAGAAAGAGGTAATGAAATGGCAGACTCGTCAATCGATCAAGATGGCCGTGGGGAGTTTGTGCATTTCGCCCTCCCCGCAGCACCCGTGCTCAGCGGGTTGACCTTTCTGACCCTCAGCTGAAGCCATATGGCTGTGTTCAGCTGAACAGGGGTAGGGGTGTGATCTGTTGTAACAACCACAAGATCGGAGGGAAAAACTGACATTTGATTGCCTGACTTGGGCGCCGAATGATTTTGTTAAGGGCCAACAGTAATAGGTTCACTGACCGAAAAAAACCCAGTCGGTTGGGGAACGATGCTATTGTGGCCGATAAATGCTGGAAACCCTGTAAAAAACATATGTTTCATGCTGTCGGACCGAGAGCTCTGGCGACACGAACGTTGGAAGCCCAAGAATAGCTCAGAACCGACTCAACTGAAGCGGCACTGGAGCTATTATAACAGCATCAGGGTTTCTTGTGATGACGATGCTTACCCTTAGAAGCCGTATCTCTCCAGCTCCCGGACGACCCGGTTTCCATCCGGGTCAGATCTGTATCCCGGATATTATCTGCGTTATCCCAGAAATTAGCCTGGTTGTACCAGAAATTATCCGGGTCATCCCAGTTCGGTGCGGTACCTCCGGCACCAGGGGCTAAGAGCCCGGAAGACGTCTGCTCGTTCCCGGGTCGGCCCAATTTCTTACCACACGTTTTGCCGAAAGTTGGGACAAGGGGTCCGGAAGGAGCTGCCCTTCTATCCCTCTCCAGGGCACTGGGGGCTATAGGCCCAGAAGGCGTAGCCCTTTTCCCTGTGCCTGGTGTACCGGAGGCCAGAGGCCCTAGAAGCATCTCTCCGGTACATGAGTGGCTTTGTCGCTTGCCGTCTGAAGTACGCATGGAAATTGGAGGCCCGGAAGGTACAGCCCCAGCATGTTGGGTACTCTAACCGGGGGCCAGAGGCCCGGAAAAAGTGGTCCGGTAAGCGACTTAAGTGTACCTAATTTAGTCTTGCACGATCGTTTACATTGTGACGAACCAGGAGAATTACTCACTGCCAAGTCCACCGATGGTGACCGAGAATTGAGCCAACTGCATCCCATTCATCATCTCCCCACGTACAACAGACCACGCAGGTATTTTTGAGGCGTATACATGTAAGGGTGACAATGTGGGCACAAATATTGTGGGTCTAGGCATGCCCTAGGATAAATATGGTGACACATACTGCATGTAACGAACTTGGTGGGAGTAATACCGTGTTTACTCTTGCGTGACTCCGCCATGATGAACCTAAGACGAAAAAAACTGGTGATTTTACAGTTACGAAAACGGCAAAATTATAAAACTAAAGGAGTGGTATTTTCTTCCACAAAATGAGAAAAAGACGACACACACTTTGTGTACAACTAAAATTTATGCTACTATATACAAAACTTAGCAATATGGAAGGAAATTGCAAGTCCTTCGAGAGCTTGAAATTTTTATGTCTCACTCGTGTGAGCGCTAGAGAAAAAGAGGACGAGGGTACCAAACTAATGCGGGTACTGAGGGCTTTGGCACTGAGGGCGCTATTTACTGTGGTATTAAACGCTAGCGATTAGGAGCCTCAGGCTAGAGAAATATGCAAATGTAAGGTTTAACAGGTAAGAGAGTCCCAGAAGTGGCATTTTCATTAAGTGGAAGAAGTTTCCAAGAGGAACATGGGCGTCGACAGGATTTTTCTAGAGGGGGGCAAAATTTTGTTTTGCCAAAAAATGCTTGTATTTTCAACACATTCTCGATTTATCAGTTTTAGAGGGGGGGCAGGGACATTTTGCCCCCCCCCCACTCATTAAATTTACACCACTTTGTCTTCGCGCCTCTTTTTCTTTTTTTTTCCGTCTTTTTTTTTTTTTTTTTTGCTTTTCTGGGGGGGGGGGGGGGGCAAGTGCCCCCCCTCGCGACGCCCATGAAGAGGAACAGTTCTTATGAGGTACATGTAATTATAGTTAAATAAAGCTATATGCCATTGTTTACCTGATGAAGAGCCAGGTTTTTTCAACTTTCTTCCGTGGCCAGAAGGGGTGAATCCTGTAGCTCCTCCTGGTGATGCAGGGTTCAACAGACGTTGAATTTCGCTCTCAAAACACTACAAAATTAATAAAGATTTCAAAACAAAATGTTAGCATTCAGGACAAACTCAGTTTGTGCATACATCGTGCCATATGCCCACAAACCAATATGTGCTTGTCTTGTGTCCATCCAAATGGGGATTCAGATAGTGGTCACAAAGAGCCATCTACTGTTTGAGCATAGAGTCCATACAAAGGTCAGACAAGTAGGTGATTCCTGATAAAACCTTTGCTAATCCTGCTGACCAACAAGGTGCAACAGATGCAAAGTCTTCATATAGAGACCATACTGCATCGAGCCATCAACACCAGAGGCACAAATTGCCAATTCTGAGAATATGGGAGCTAGTCCCATTGAACAATAGCCCTGTTGGATCCTGTGCAGGGTGGCAGAAACAGTCTCTCAAGATGGCCTTGAGTTAGTAGATCTGTTGGGTCATGTAAAACAGGGATGGCTATTGACTTTGACAAATGTTACATGTTGTCAGATTTAGCAAGGTTTCTAGCTAAAATACCCTGGAGGTTATTAGTGTTAAATACCGGATATTATGCTGAGAATTGCTATTAAAAGTTAAAGATGTAGTCTATACCTGGATAGTCTTCACATCTTTGTCGTAGACTACAAAGCGAATATCCTTCAGTACACCATTCGGATGTTGACTGCTGAATTCCAAGACTGACTCATACATGACACGTGCAGTGACATCAGCTGGGTAGTTCAGGTTGCCTGTACCGAGTGCTGGGATTGCTATGGAAAGCATTTCATTTTGCTCAGCGTCCTCCATCAAACTGAGGACAAGCTTCTTCAGAAACTAAAACATCAAATTAAAAAAATATCATCTTTCCAATACTTTTAATGCTAGATGTATATTTTATCTATCGTGTACATTTACAGTGATATCACTAAATAAAAGAGGGGGCGGGGGCAGTCATAGTTTGGTCATGGTTGTTAATAAATAATATTACTTTTCCAAATTCTGAAGTGGCAGGGACACAGGCCTTTGGGGTGGGCGTTAGGGGTTATGTAGGGGTTATGGCATAATGCCAGGTGAAGTAATACAGGCCCAAGGAAAATTGTGCAAGACAAATTATGTGTAGAAAGTTGTCAGACTGCACCTTTCTCAACTCAACATGCTCAAAGAGTAAGAAAATGGATGAATCCCCCACCTACTGGTCCAAAAATATATGCATTACTCCTCTTACTTGCTCAGCTCTGGCTGGACTGCTGTAACTTTCACAGACGCAGTGGTAGACCTTTTTGCATGTGAGGGCAGCTGGTCCCGTTTGTATGAATTCACCAGCTGGGATTTTCCCACGAGCAGAAGTCACTGTGCTGCACTCTAGCTGTAAGGCTTGCCCAGCTGCTTGCAATATGGCCTTAGACACCGCACCATTACCAAGTTGCATGTCACTTCCTGCAGTGTTGACTAGTACATCAACCTGTATGGCAAAACAATTAGAATACACATCCATGTACTGTGTACCTATTCAACAAAAGTTTCTCTTGCAAAGGGAAGCCAGCAGTAACATAGAAAAACAAGTTGGTTGGCATTTAATTGTCTGTAATCAATGTACACCATTTCATCTTACTACAAATTGACATTTGGTAGTCTGATTCCCAGACCTAAGATTCTGACTATGCTAAAAAACTTTACATCAGGTAGACACCTGAAATGTCCCAAATTTTTTGAACATAGTTTTGTTGATATGAATGTTTGCAGTAAGTTGTGTGAATTACCACAAACATACACAGGGGTAAAATACAAACAATTGTCCTGCCATGCTTGTTATCAATCCTGAAAATGTTGAGTCTGTTTAAATTGAAGCTCGCGTTAAGTACATTTGATACCAAGCATATATGCCCATTTAGCCGTTGTGCCTCAAGTATCCAGTAGGGCTTTTGCTGTATCATGCTTTATTTTGAATGTTATAGCTCCCTGACCTGCAATATATATGGGGTATAGAGATTGTTAGGGTAGGAAAGAGACCAGACATGAACTTCATGAATGATTGCAACTGAAGAGGCTCTTGAGAAAACAAAGCTATCTTTTACCATTTCACTGGTGATGCTTCCTTTCTTGAGGGTTATGTTGATGCCCTCCATTGTTGTCAAGATGTTTTGCCCTGATGAAGTAAACCTTGGGGCTGGGGCTGGAGCAGAGACAGGGGGTGGTTGTGGTACATCATCAACAATTGGTGGACCCAAACTTGCACCCCTGGACCCTAAGGTTGGAATTAAGACAAAGCATCATAACTGATTATTTATGAAGTTGAAATGTAATTCTTAAACAGGGGACAAGTCGAAATCAAGGGTCCAAATTGTCCCCAAGGACATTTCATAACCACAGATTTCATCAGAAAAATACAAAAACAAACAATTTTGTTATACCTGAGTATTTTAAGAAGTAACAAAATTGTAATTAAAATTGTATTTTTTGTCAAGGCAGTTTTGTCTTTTGTTCCCTTTTGACACCCCTTTATGCATTCACTGAAGTCCATTTGCTTCAGTGAGTTCAGTCGATAAAATGGACGTTTGCCCTGACCCACCCACAGTTCTGTCTTGACACACTCAAGTCAAAGGTTATACAAAACAACAGGGATGAAAATGTTTATTCTTTATGAATGATGAAGGGTGGTGTTCCCAGGGAACACATGAGGCAAATGTACTCCACAGTCTATCAGGTTTTTATACATAAACTTTAAGTCAACTGACCAGTATTCAACCAATGAGATTTCACACTCTAATACCATTGTGCAACTAAGTAAATTGCATGAAACATGTGAAATAATAAGCAATATTTAAGTTCAATACAATTGCAATATATAAATGTAAATCCGCCCACCTTTGTCAACATCAGTGCCATCTTCGTCTTCCTGAAATTGGCTAAATCGATCCATCACAGCCTTTTTGAATACATCACAGGTTGGCGGGTCATTGTTGGTGAAATGAATCTCTGTCAGGGTGGGGTTAGGCATGCTTTGACAGAACTCAGCCACGGCGTTAAGGATCTGCTTTGCGGCGAGGTCAACTGGGAAGCCATAAACACCAGTGCTGATGGCTGGTATGGCGATGGACTGCATATTCAGCTTATTTGCCAGTTTTAGACAAGCAATGACGCCGTTATACAGGAGATGCTCTTCATAACTTGGCTCATCATCATCTGGAATAAATGTGTCTCCTCTATGATGTGGCCATTTAGGTCCTGCAACATGGATAACTTTCTTGCAGGGTAGTTTCCCACCGGTAGTATGAACAGGCTCGCCAACGTACAATTGGCGGCGCTTGGACCTGATCAATATCTGCTCACTCTCAGTCTGAATGGCTCTCCCACCTGTGAAAGAAATGAAGACAGTTAGATGATTCATGCAAAAAAGTTCAAGTAATGTATATAATGTACATAAGCTTAACTGCGAATAAATTCTACTATTTATATTGCAATGTATAATGCATGTATCTAGCTAGACTCACCTGCTTTGACTATATCATATGCTAGTCCTCCAACATGTTTCAGTTCCGTATTTGCAGCATTCACTATGCAGTCCACTTGTTGCCTTGTCAGGTCGCCTATGCATACTTTCAAAGTGAAGCCATTTGGCAGAGCAATTCGGCAGAGTACCCTCGTGGATACCATTGGTCTCACTGCTGCATCTCCTTCAACTTCAGCTTCATCATCGCTGTCTTCCTGCACATTCTCTCTGATAACACACAGGTATTCTTTCTCAAGCGTTTCCAAAAACTTCTTCCCTTTGTCTTCTCGGAAGAGTTGGGCCATTCCAGTCTTTGAGACCGGATAAGGCTGCTCCTTGATTCTATCTATCAGGGAAGAAATGGCCTGGCTTGCTGCTTCCGAACCCTCTTCATTTCCTTGAATCACAAATCCCTTGCGACGGCCACCCTTCTGTGGCTGGATTTTCACATGGTTTTTGGTATTCTTCATTATGTTTACCAAATCTTCGCCGTAGAAATTTTCGATGAGACATATTTTGTTCTTGTTTGCTGGAACCATTGTCTTTATGATGACATTATCTTTCAGAAAAAGCATGATTTTTTGCTTTGTCTCGCCCAAGTTAGTCTTGAATCCTGCAAGTTCAACCACATTCCCTGCAAAACATGAACATCAAGTTTAATTAGGAAAAGAGGGTTATTACACTTCAAGAACACCAAATCATATAAACTTTTACACCACACCTTACCTTTTTTCAAGTAAGTACACAACCAAAAATGGAAACAAAACACAAAATAAGCAAAACTATAGGAGTTTGAAAGGCGGTCCTCATCTATGTTTAAACCAGAAACCTACACAACCCCTGGTTCAGACTGGCGTTCCAGAGTCGTGCCAAACAAAATAAACTGGAGCAACTTGAGTGGACCCACACAGATTTTTGGTTTCAGGCAGGTGAACTTAATACACTGGAGTCATTGTACAAACACATGATCTTAGCAACAAACTGCCACTGCACAACACTTTTTGTGGTTATATTTTCGAACAGTACCACCATATCTGACATTGTTTTTCGAGAGCAATTTCTGACCCACAACATCAACAGATAAATCCTTATCAGAATTATAGCCGAAAGGAAGAAAGGAAGTGCTATAACCATGTTGCTGCAGGCAGGAAAGAATACTGAACCTCTGCTTCTTAGCAGCTCTCTTGCTGCTTTCACAACTGTTACACATAGCATGCACTAAAAATCCACAAATGTTATGTTTGTACGGGTGGATTGTAAGACATGTCAATATCATCACTACTTATTTGCATACAATTTTACAAGCATTAAACACATTTGCTTTGGGTTCCGCTCATACAATGACGTCTGAATCAAGTGGCTCCCGAGTCGTTCTGAACGACTCCGATATTCGATTTTTCACCATCTAGGGCATTGCGTTGCTCCTGCTTGATTCAGGCGTCGGACTTTTGATGCACTTTATTCAGATCTTGACTTTGATTTTGGGCGGACCAACTCGGGAATGCCTGTCTGGACCAGAGATATATTTTTTTTGGACTGTTTTCCCTACAGAATTTTTACCTTTGCTGCTGATGGCTGCCATAACAAATTTCTGCTTGTTGATCCCATCAAGGAGCCTCTGGCCGGTTTGGTTCTGGAGAACATCCATTGCAGCTTGGCTTTTGATTGGAATAACACCCTCTTCTATTTCCTGATCGATGTATGCTTTAGCCTTGGTTGTATCCTTCTTAGTGGCACCAGATATGATGATCTTGCCATCATCAGATCCCTTGCATGCTGCTCGACTGCCCTGTGACCCTAGGATCTCATGGATTTTGTCGATAACATTCAGAACAAACTTTACTTTGTTAGGTCCGGTTTTGAGTTCTACTTTCTCTAGACTGTCCATTTGCCTCCGCATCGACAGCTCTGCTTCCTGCACGATCTTACGTGATCCTTCAAAAACGACTCTGAGTTTATCTTGTGAAGAGATGACAGTGATCTTCAGGTTTGGAAAGTCCTTTTCAATTTTATCCTTGATGCCACATATGATAAAAGGCTGGGACTTCTCTTCTGTCAAGGTTATGTCTTCCTTTATTTGCTGGGCTTCATACTCGGTCTTTGCTCTCAACTCCTTAATGATTCCATCAATATCAGTATGTCCTTTATGAACGTCTTGCTGCTCCCCAACCAAAGTAACTAGATGAGTGCTAGCATCAAACTGAATGGAGAAGCTCTTGGTGCCAAGCTGATTTATTTTATCAACTGCGTCTTTCCAAAATGACGATGGGACTGCAATTCTGGATGACTTACACCTGTTCAGGGAGTCAGTCAGAATTTGGGTAGCAGTTTCAGACCATTTGAGCCAAGATGATTGTCGCTGTCCATCTTCCAGTAGAGGTTCCAGCCTAGCTGTTGTCTTATCGTCACCATCTGGCCATTTCAGAATGGCCTTTGCATCCCTAAGCTTCTGAGTCAAAGTCTTCTTTGTGTGTTGGCCCTTCCCGAAGATGAACTCCATGATGGGTTTCTGGACTTGTACAGTGACTGGCTTAGGGACATGAGGAGTAGGGGCATCTAATTGACTCAGTCTTCCCAGACATTCATGGTACTCTTCAACCAACAGCTCAGTGCCGGCAACCTTGTGGGGACTCCTTTTCGACAGAACGTCATGAACAACTAAAGAAAAAAATTAATGCAAACATAATCCGATAATGTTTGAGATTCAACAGTGAAATTTACTATGAATGCATCAGTTTCAGAAATTAGATCATTCTTGAAAAAGAGTAAAAACCTGCATCCACAAAACTGTTACAAGCTCCTAAGGCCAAAAAAAAAAAGTCTCCAGTTTCTGGTATGGAGCTTGCCCCAAAAGTGGTGCGGCGACGTGGCTTTTTTTTTTTTTTTACCTGTTTTTTTTTTGTTTTTTGTTCAATTGTCGCTGATGACTGCAAATGGTGCCCGACTAAACTTAGTGCAAATATATGGGAGTCCAGAGAGGCCACATAAAGCTTATTCTCGATCATAACCCCATCTAAAAACACGTTAAAATTGTGCAGCAGCAGGATTCCAGTCAAACCAGTGAGTTTGGCGGTTTTGAGACATCATCTTGTATTGAAAAAAAAACCTTTTTCATTTTGCCGACGCGCATGGCTACGGCGACCATACCAGAAACCGGAGACTTTTTTTTTTTGGCCTAATCCGTGCCTAAAATAACCCTAGTAAATTGCATGTCAAACACTGCAGACTAAATTGACAAAACACAAAAAGTTCATATTCGAAGAGTCAAAACAAGTATACACACAATTCAAAAAACCATTACAAATTCCTAATAAGTGCCTGAAATTATCCCAGTAAATTTAAATACATTTGTACATGTACTTATAGTCTTCCTTATCTTTCAGTGATTTTTTTCCCCTTTTTTTCTGGCTCTTAATGAACCTGGGTTTACTTTCAAGATGTCAGACTGGCTTTCAGATATTGAAAGTTTTTGAAGTTTTGAGATTGGATGACCAAAAGTGGGAATATCACCTTTTTGAAGACAATATGGGCGACTTTTATGGTCATCAGTGCAGTACGTAGTCCTATTATTTTTTTTATTGAGCTGTGGCACTCCGTCCATGTTTATCTGACCAATAAGAGAATGCCACATGACATCACGCGACACTGACAAAGTGCAATCCGCTCTTGCATGCTACGGTTCACTCATGCTGGATTTGCACAGCAATATTTTCAGTACTCAACGCATTGATCCAAAACTATATATTTAGTTTGCTCACAGACATCAGAATAACGTGAAAGTTTTTGGCATGTCAAAAGTTCAAATGTCTCAATTTAATTGTTACCGACATGCATCTCAATGCACAATCCCTTTCGCCAGTATTATCATCACAATTTCTATTTTGACAGCTTGTTCATTTACAAAATGGCCGAACAATGTAGGTCTCACACATGAAGTTTATCAGAGATTCCTGAATGAAAATAAGTAGGTGCTTTCCATCTCAGTCCACAAAATCGGACGATGATACGATTGTCCGTGGATTCACACGCACAGAGGTATCCACATCGCGAATGGAGCGCCTCAGGCATTGTGTCGCATTTTTAGTGATACCTTCATATCTGGTTGTCTAATTTCATTGATTTTTGGTTGGTATAACCCAAAGATATCGGGAATTATGATGAGTAAATTTCACTTTGCAACCTGTGTATCATGTCAAGGTTCGTTGTTTTTGTCCACAGGGAAAAGTGACATGACGAAAGAGCCTACTTAGGATCAAACCTCTAAGGAAATTGTTAAAGTTTGGTCCCATGAAAACACATCCCAAGTACAAGAAAAGTTGCTAAGATTCTGCACAAGGCACAATGTGAAAGAAAAGAAACTGTTGTTCTTTTATTGGCATACCTTTCCAGTCTTCATAGTAGACAATAGCCTGAGTGTCTGTGGGTCCCTGCTGTACCTCTCTGACACCGGTGCCGCCAGATTTCTTTTTGTTGTCAAAATACAACTCGATCATCTCTAAAGATGTTCTTGGTGAGACCCCTTCAACACAAACATAGTTTTTCAAATACTAAATGCTGCAATTTGCATATATATATCGGTACATTCTGTTTTGACAACATGTTTAACATCCCTCTAACAATTAACACGAAGTAAAAACTTTAAAAAACTAATGACAAAGAATTCAAACTGACAGATTTCCAGGACTGATACTGGATGCACAGTGTACCAACATTCCACTTAACTTCCACGGAAATGTGGACATGGCTGGAAAGTGGAAAATTTACGAAATCTTCAGAACTACAAGCACCACGACTCAAATGTGGTCTCAGTTAAAGGGGACACCAAGACCTGTCATTTGATTAATGTACCAGTGAGATGGAATATAGTTAATTGCTTTTCTTGTCAATTAACTGTTTGAGGGGTTGTCATTTTTGCAGCTTATTTTTGTGCATGCAAAATACAAGTGTTGTTGTGGGTTTTTGTTTTTAAGGCAGAGTGAAAGGTTCATATAATGCCAAAGGAGTTTTTGTTTGATTATTATTTATTTTATATGTTTGAACTTGCACCAAAGGCTGGAGGACAAACTGCAATTAGTCAGGTGGCATATGGTTGGAATCGTGACCGACTGGTCCAAAGCACCAAACTTGGCAGATAGATTCTTATAGACCTAGAGAAGATATTTAGAAGGGGTGACACCTGAAATTCTTTTGGGAAGGGTGCCTAATTTGCATAAATCGTTAATCCCTGCCGTGTAATATATTTTTTTCCCACATTTGGGTATATTTTTATTTTTTTATTTTTTTGAAAAGTGTATTGTGGTGATTCTACTTGCATATTCTTACTTCAATAACATTTTGTAAAGCATGTAAGTGACTGGATAATTACGAGGACATAGTAAATCACCAAAATTGCTACTATGTTAGCCTAAAGTTACGCGCATTTACCTTTTCCTCAGATATCATCAACTAGTCTCGCCAAACGTGGGTATTGATGAGCTTCAAATTCACAAAGGTACTTACTGACATAGTTAACCTAACAAAAATAAGTGGGAAATCATTTGAAAATTGATATCATCTTGATGTTTGGCATAAAAGACAAAAAAGGGGAGAAAATGTGGTGTACGGTAAATTGGGCTACTACGGGAAGGGTAACGTGGGGACTAGAACAAGTTCAACAAAATCCCCCCAAATATGAGATTATTGTTGTTTACAATAATTTTGTCTACGCCAAAACGTTTTCTCAACAATAATTTTGGGAATTTTCTTTGAACTTGTTCCAGTCTTCCATGTTAGGCAACCCTTCACCTTACTTGTTAGCCCAATTTATGGACACCTCGTTTTTCCCCCAGTTTTTGTTTTCTGGGCTAAATATCACAATGTTCTCATTGTTCACATGATTTTGCATAAGGTTTCAATAGGGTAACTGTACCAGTAAGCTACGTGGTGAATTCACGTGGTGAATTCATAAGTTCATCAATGCTGATGTTTGGCAAGACTAATTGATGATATCTGGGGACAAGGTAAATGCGCGCAATTTAGGGCATAATAGTAGCCATTTTGGATCGTTACTATGTCCTCATAATTATTCAGTCACTTATATGCTTTGGAAAATGTTATTTAAGTAAAGATATGTAAGTAGAATCCCCAAAATAAACTTTTCAAAAAAATAAAAAAATAAAAATATACCCAAATATGGAAATAAATATAGTACACGGCAGGGATTAAAGATTTATGCAAATTAGGCACCCTTCCCAAAAGAATTTCGGGTGTCACCCCTTCTAAATATCTTCTCTAGGTCTATAAGAATCTATCTGCCAAGTTTGGTGTTTTGGACCAGTCGGTCACGATCTTGACGAAAATTAGATCTAAGCCACCTGACTAAATGTGAGTAACCACAATGTGAGTAGCCAGCCTTTTTCTTTTTAGCTATAACAGCATTTGGTATACATTTGTTAAAGGGAAGATACAACATTTGCAAACATCAAAAAACGAAATGATCAAATTATCACGAAATTACTGAATTGCTAGGGATTGACAGTCTAAAGCATCCTGTAAAATTGTGGCTCCTGGTGTGCTGACATTTTCAAGAAAAACTGTATTTTTCCAATGCTGGTCGGCCGACTGCCTTTTTCAAAAACTGCTCCTAATTTTTCATATTTAGTTATTCCGCATTTTCTTTGCAATTGATTACACACCTGTGAAGGGGTACAAGCCTGCTAGAGTGATTCTTTGACCTTGCAATTCCCCAAAGTCTTTATATTTCTCTGTTTCATCTTAAGTGGGGTCAGGGAACCAGACCACAAGAACATGATTGGTTTTCTTGTTTTTTTCCAGCATCTACCATTGTCTACAAGCCCAAAACGTAAAACAAGTCGGATTAACAATATTTGCTTTAACATACTAAACCTCCGAATCCATTTATTTCTGAAAATTGCAGCAAAAGCAAATGTTGTACATACCCTCTAATGTCAACATAGATATCTTGTAAAAGTATTCATTGAGTATTGCAGTTTCACTCCAAGGAAACTGCTGAAGTACAAGAAATCAACAAAAGCAGGCGGCTTAAAGTTTCAATATGACGTTGCTCAGCCTTTGACAAAGGTCTTGCTTAAGCCTGAAACATTAGGCCAGAAAATTTTGTTAATTTGTATATTTCAGGTCAATCCAGTCAGTAAGCTGTTTGCAGCAGTTTAATTTTCAAATTAAAAGAAAGACAATTTTGGCATGGGCTTTTTGTGTACAATAAGTAACCATATTTTTAAGAGTGCCATGCTCAAATGAGGGAAAATACAACTTTTTGTTGTCAGCACGGAAAAGCCCTGATAGTCCTTTTAGTATGACAATCACAACACTCAGAATGTAAGGACACAAGAAGTGTAATGCGAGTAACAGCGGAATTGCCGCATCTCTCATCTTATATCTCTTTTTTTTTAAAGTTTATCTAAAAATAAACTAATTATTAACTGGCTTTAGGTCTCACCTTTCACGAGAATACAATCTGACTCCTTCACCTTCTCTGCTGTCAAATAGGCTCCACTCAACACTTTTGAAGAAATTCTTTTGATTACATTCTCGAAGTCTACAAACATTCAAAATAATAAGCAATCAGTTAGATTTAAGTACAAATTAATCACCAAGTAGCAACACAAAGAGGAATGACACACAGTAAAGAATGTAGCAATTTGCTACAGACAAATGTTAGCTTTTGGTTTGGGATTTTTATTGTATGATACTTGTCTTATGCTAGGCAGTTCTCATTGAAAGGTTATGGGATTATTTGAAATTAGTGCATTCTTTCAATGTGAAGCAATAAAAGTGATCAAAATCTAAAGACGGGTGCTTGACAACTAACCTGGTGACATTTTAACTCTGTTAATGCTGTACATTGTGAGAAAACAATCCTAGGATCTCGGTAACATCTTTTGAATTGTGCTCAAAATCAGCATCATGGATACAAAAATTCCACTTTTCTTGAAAAGGCCAGCACACCAGGTGCAATGAGATCACAGGATGCTAGTTGAGACCGTTATTCAGTTACAGTCAAATATGATATCGGTATCTCATATGACATCTCATAAGTTGGTAGTTTTATATATTGATGTTTGCAAAGGTTGTATGTTACCTTTCAGTAGGGTGCATAAGAGTTAACTTAGTTTTAGCTCAATGACTACTTTACATTTTGAGAAAATTAAGGGGAAAAATGGGGGGGGGGTGTTCTTGTAACTAGTTTCTACTGCTCAGCACCCTCTTTTGAAACTACAATTAATGTTAGTTTCCTTCCGAATGATACCAATTCACGCGGAATAATTTCACAGGGTATATTCTCCCAGTCCTATCTTAAGTTTGAGCAAGGTTTCTGTAATTCAATCAGTATTACTTTACAACATTGTACAAGGTAATTGTAAATGATCCTACTCCATATAACATTTGTATGTTGTCATTTGGTACCATGCATGTTATAAAAAACATGACATGCATGATTAAAGCATGAAAAATAATCTTCAAAGCGAATATTATACCTTGGATGTCTTCTTTGAATGTGCAGAGTGCTGTTCCAGGCATCTCACCATATTGTATCTTGAACTCATCCGTACCAGACCGATTCTCAATGAACATTGCCACAAGCTCTGAATTACACCCATCAGGAATTCCGCACAGAAACAGACATCGCTTCTTGACAGGACGAGGGCGAGGTTTCTTCTTCACAATCTGGCGCACCACCAGATTATCACCTCCAACCTTATGTTTTTTTGCAATCACTTTACTAGTAACTAAAAGAAATAACAGAACCAGGAACGCTGTTTACTTTCAAACGGCAATCTCACCTCCAAACCTATGCAATTATCAGTGTCGTAGTCTAGTACTTTTTTTCCCAAGTACCAAGTACTGCCGAGTACTTAGGTTACCGAGTATGAGTACAAGTACGAGTACAAGTTCAGGACTCCGAGTACGAGTACTTCAGAGTATGAGTACGAGTATGAGTACTTGTATTCCGAGTACGAGTACGAATACGAATACGAGTACTTGTATTCTGAATACGGCCATACTGCAAAAGGTTCATTTTGTGCAATTGGCCCAGGCCCAGTCAGACCGATACGTGTACAGACCTACTCAAGGCTAGCTGTTGAATGTGTTTGTCCGGACGTGCACAGAAAAAAATCAGGAAATTTCAATGTCTCTGCAAGCACATCAACCATTTCCAACTGAAAGTATTTATAATGAAATAAGGCCGTGGTAAGTCATGAAGCTATACCATTTTTTTTTCGAGTACTGCTAGTCGAGTACAAGCACTTTGATGATCGAGTACAATTCCAATATGTCGAGTATGAGTACTTTGCTGCCCGAGTACGAGTATCGTCATTTCCAGTACGAGTACTTTGACATTTGAGTAGGGTACTCTAAAAAAGTACTCGAGTATGAGTACCGAGTACGAGTACTACAACATTGGCAATTATGGCTAAAAAGTTAACTGTGCCAAAATACTGGGATATGCGAGTGCTTCTGTGTCCTTCACATACGTACACAAATTATTTCTGTTGCATCTTATTTAAAACGACAGAGAGGAGTTTGTTTTTATTGGCACAGAACTTTAAAAAAGAAAACGACTTACGTGATGGGTTCTCAAAAGTCATTTTGATGGCTTTAGCCTTTGGGTCATGCTCCCATGTCTTGATGTCGCCTCCTCCAGATCTTTTGGGATTCTCAAAATGCATCCTGAGCATCTCCTCTGATGACGATGACAATTGGTTGAAACCTGTAACTTCAACAAATTTCTCCTCTTCCTCCTCTTCTTCCTCTTCTTCCTCTTTCTCATCTGGAGAATTCTCCTGAAGAGATTACAGATAGATCAAAGGTTCTGAATAAGTACAAGTCTACACATTCTAAATTGGAAAGACAGAAAAATGTGGGGTTTTTTTGCTTGACCAGAGGGACCAGCCCATAATCCTCATTGTACCTGACTCTCTGAGGCTGCATTCGAGCAAGTCATTAGTGTTACCATAAGCATATACAAGTATATGTGCATGAATGGCAAGAGTATGAACCCGGGTACGGGTGTGTATTCTCGCTATCACTCAGAGCGGGTGTAGACTCTTGCAGCTGGCTAAATCATGTGAATTAGAGATGATGGAAGGGTAAACACTGTCATTTTGCAAAAGTAAACATGGTAAATAGCATTTTTTCTTGAATTTCTGTTGAAAAAAACGTATTAATGTATTGCCACCTTGAAAGTAATTTTTTTTACAAAAGAATAATCTTTTGCTATTGCAGCAGCCAAATTTGTGCATGTCTAATTATAACAACATTAATCATTTGAGCGATGTGACCCCACTGCAATGAATACGCAACATTTTCCTACTCTGAAGAGTATCAGGTATGATGCAAATGAATGCACAGCCTGTCACTTATTAATTATACTTTGTCGGTCCAAGATGGCCAGTCTAGTTCTCTTTGCACCAGGGGTAAGATTGGACAAAAATAAAAAATCCACGAACTTCGGTTGACACGTATACATGTACATGTATTATTGTACATGCACATATATTAATTACTGTACAATTACATGTATTAGCGGTACATGCATACATGTCTGTATATAGGGCATGTACATTTTATTAAATTTTGTCGCTTCAGTAAAGAAAACAAATGGGGGACAATGAGGGGAAACATGTTCGGTCATTAAATAAAATAATCAATACATGACTGATTCAATAATGTCTTTTTCTGTGCGTGATGGTATATTACTTTTGCATGTTTGCAGAGAGAACGAAACAATTTCCAAAAAAAATATTAACTAATCTTACTTATAATCTATCAGGCTTCCAAAACATTTTTGCGTCAGTGGTGGCTATTTTTCAAAGTCCAGCTCGCGATTGGCGCGCGCCTCGAGCACACTGCGCGATGTCGCGCAGAATGCACCTGGGGTGTTGTGCTGTGAATTAAGGACTATAAAATACTGACTCACTGGTAGTATTGCGCATGCCTACATGAGGATTATGAAAGTTCAACCAATAAAACGGTAAAAGGCACTGGATTTTTAGGAGTCCAAATTTCATGTGACACTGGAAAAGTGTTTAAGACCGGCCAGCCATGTCTTTATCATGTGTTTAAGGCCAGCCACATGACAGGCTCTCGACCAATAGGAATGGGTAAACTGTCTTAGGTATTTATGAATGTTATATCAAACTAACATCAAATTGTACCTCTCGCACTTGTTCCTGGGGTATTAAGGGAGCTTCTGAGTGTCCTCTTCTGCCAGCAGTTGTCTGCTCCTGCTCAGAGATTTCTGAGTCAGCTTTTTTGCCCTTTTGTTTCCTTCTGCTCTTCTTGCTTTTTTGTGGTCCAGACAACTTGGTGGTGTTTTGGGGTCCGTGATGGTCTTGATCTTGTTTGTTCATCTGATCCTGCGCTGCTGCTCCCATTTGTTGTGGTCTCAAGTTGCCTTTTTGGGTTGCACCACCGCCTTCCAACTGATGTTTGCTGGGTTCTACTGGCTGTCGTTGGTGTCCTACGTGACAGAATGAAAGAGGTGCATAAGAACATGTTATTTTAACTTTTAGGGAAAAGTTTACTAAAGGACATGTTCCTGTTCCATTCAGGAAATTTCCTTTGAGAACAAATGGGACATAATAGTGTTAGAACAAACTAACACCAACTAGATAAATGCTGTGCCAATAAGGATCTCTATAATATCTTCTACAGTGTTACAGTAGGGGAAATGACTGGACATTTTTACTGCCTGTGATTGTTTAAATAGCAGGAGGATTAATGGATTGATTTGTTGTCAAAGAATGAAACAGTGATAGTCAAATGTAAATATTGGTGTAAGAGTGAGATTGAATCAACAACACACCTAGACATTCAAACTACACCACCTATTGATTTTTTGATTAACCACTTTGCGCCGGGATTATGTTTGCTGAAAATTCCGATTGTCCAATCAACTTCTGATAAACAGCCAAACACCACAAATACTGATTCGCAAGAATCTTTTCAACAGTATTTGTACGATATCTCTTGCCGAAACATATGTTTCAATACTCCGAGGTGTGCACTGGAGCATAAATTGTAGAACAATATAGGCCGTGCACAACGGCCAATTCAAGATCAACACACGGTCCGCCTCCACAGACTTTGTGTGTGTGTACAAATGGCACGAGGGATTAGCGTGTTTAGACGTCATCCAGAGGCGAGTTGAGGCAATCTTGACTTTTTTACCCACCAGCCGTGCCTGTGTATAAAAACAGCCAGTGCATGTTATCACGTCCTCCAATGCAAACTGGTTAAGTATTCAGTACCAGGGTAGGTAGAATGCACATTTATCTTCATTTATCTTAGCCATGAACTAAAAACACGATGACTGCTCACTATCTCCAGATGCTCTCGGCTGTTGCTGGGAAGAAGCTTGCTTCTGGCAATCATCGCCTCTGCCATGCAGATCTTTATTTGCAATATCCTGGGAGTGCGAAGCTTCCATTTTCAATTTCTTTGCCGGGTATGGAGTCTGTGAAGGAAACAATGGCACACAATTATTCAGTCAGAATGAAAGAGCATAATACAGCCCTACGTGCTTCACTTCTAACATGGTATGTGTCTAATCACTGCTATACTATACGGTGAAAAAGTGTATGTAAAACATTATAAAAATATAACATGGTTTGAGGGTGGACAGTCAATATTCACTCCCCAAGGTATTGGAAGTTGACAAGGGAACTAGTTTGTCAACTTGCAATACCAAGGGGAGCTAATATCGGCTGTCCACCCAAAATAAACCATGTTATATTTGTTTTACTATACCTCATATATATTCAGCGCAGATTTGTTTTTTTCGTTTCATGAAGGAACCTCAAACAATTTTTTTTGAAAAACTTTTCCAGTTCACCAAAAGAATCGTATTGCTCAACTTCACTAGTTCTTTTCATTTACCATACAGTGCAGCTGTAAAAAACAGTAGTTTGTGTACAATATTTTTTTTACAGGAGGCATCTTTATTGCCATAAATATTCTCTACTTCGACATCATTGAGCTCAGAAAAATAACACGACGTGCAACCTTAACCATCTCTTCGTGTGTAGCTCGTTTGGGCGATGTTCGCGCGTGTGTACTACACCCATGCAACAGTTCCACGATTGCTTTGTAAAGGACATGCGTAGTAGATTGTAGCACGGGTAACCCGTGCGACAGTCTACAACACATGCGTGTTTACCCTGCGCATGAATCCTCGCGCGCACTTGGTAAACAGCAAAAATAACATCTGGCATGTGATGGTGAATTGACCAGTGAGAGTTCGGCTCTCGAGCGTGAGTATGTATGCATAGCGACGAGGCTAAGATAAATTTTGTAAAAACCAGACTTTGATACCTGATTTCAGGAGTAAGAAATCAAATAGGATTTGGTAATTGGTGGATCTTTATGGGGCATTTGGTGCTTGTGATCCAAATGTTTGAATCTACTGCCTTTTTGAAATGACCAGTAAGCCATATGCCAATGCAAGATTGCATGCAAGATTGGTGCAAATCTGGCAAACAGTCAATCCCAAATTCAATTATTATAAGATAGAATTTTGCGTCGGGGTGATATAAATATTCTTAGATTTAAACCTTAGAAGACAAAGTGCAAAGATCAAATTTATAAAGGTTAAGACTATTGTTCATATTTAAATACCTGATTTTCCATAAATTGTTTCTTTGAACCATTTGGGCTATACAGATCTTCATCTGTGCCCTCTTCATAGTGCTTCTCTCCCTGTACAGTGGTACCAACGGTAGATTGCAGTGAAGACATTTCAGCAGGGTCTGGTGTATGGTGGGCTGAATGTGGACCTGGAGGTACCTGCAATACGATAAATAATGTGTACACAGCGCACAATTTTACTGCTGAAGCATTACACCATTATTACCCCTGCTCTTCAGGAGGGAGGTATGAAAATTAACATGTACAAGAGTAAAATTAGACTCAAGAGTTTTCAAAAAAGTCCATTCTAATCAGCTGGTTCTGCCATAGGTGTCAACATCCCTTCCATTTCACACAATAGAGCCCTTTTTTCGCTATAATTTTGACAGAATGATTTCTAACCGCAATCACCCCAACAAACATTTATGTTGGAATTTTATCTTGGTATTCCTCAAGAAAAAATGGCGAGAAATCCATTGGAGATAGGTAAAAAACTTACGACCTTCCACATCCAGCATTTTCGTTGCTAGGTCTTCTTGTTCTTTCACGATTGTTTTCACATTGTGTACTTGCATGAAGAATGATAATGTATCACGATGCAAAGATTTTACCTACATACAGCCGATCGGTTTTAGATTTGGTTGGTCTATAGCTGAAATGCAGTCCTTATCAGCGGTGATTTTAGAATTTTTTTTGTAATTGCTTATTAGTCCTTCATGTTTATTCACAAAAACCGTATCCTAAAGACATTTTAGTCTCCTATTTAAGTTTCAGTTTTTACCCAATGACCACAACAAAGTTATATTATAAATGTTCATCTTTGTATAAAGAGTACACCAAGTTCCATTTAGTCCCCATGTACTTAAATTTTAGAAGTGAGAGGTTAATTTTTGGCACAATATTTCTCTTTCATGTCAGGCAATTTTTCAGTTTCCTTACATTGAGAGGCTAGTAATGACTTTACAAAGGCCTTTTTGGAGTGTAATTTTCTTAAGAAATCAATGTACCAAAACTAATTGCAAATTTTAGAATATGTGCATGTTAATTGCAATGAGTTGTGGGGACTTTCTGCTGTCCCCATAGCGTCTCCGGTCCACATCATACCATGGGGCAACTTGTGTGTAGTCCCCACAACCGTGGAACAAGAATGTGTAAACTTTCAGGCTCTTTTAAATGAGTATTGAGTAAAGAGTACACGAAACTTTTGTAAAAATGTAACAAAAACACAAAGAAAAGCACCTAAAATCAATTTTTAACATACAATGTAATAAAATTGCTCTCTTAGGTTAACTATAAAGGTAAGACTTCTGTGCAAATTAAAATACCTCCTTTTCCGCAAATGGTTTCTTTGAACCATTTGGGCTATACAGATCTTCATCTGTTGCGTCTACATAGTGTTCCTCTCCCTGTACAGTGGTACCGACGGTAGGTTGCTGTGAGGACATTTCAGCAGGGTCTGGTGTATGGTGGGCTGCATGTGGACCTGGAGGTAACTGTAACATGATGAGTACACAGCGCACAATTTTATTGCTGAAGCATTTAATTACATCATTATGGCCCCTGCTCATCAGGCCCCATGATGCATTTTTAAGACCATCTCAGCTCTGATGCAATTACCATCTTTATTTACAAATTTTATTTATTTATTTATTACATTTCTTTACCCGGGGTATGCCCGAACAGTTCAAAACTGGTTTCCACTGGGGCCGTGCATACACAACGAATGACTACACATATGTATGTACTATACATAACAAATACAATACAGCACAATGAAATAAAATAAAAACATATGGGATTACTGCTTGATTGTAAATGCAACTATTTGTAAATATTGTTCAATGTAACAAAGAAACATGTACAATTGTACAGTTTGAAAAGACTTTGCTAACATACTTTTTAAGGACCTAAGGTGAAATAAATGAACAAGACAAATTTGGTCATTTCTTGTGACATCGAGAAAATACATTTCTAAAGGCCTGATTATGGGAGGGGCAAAAAACTCTTTTGGGAGAACAACGGGACAACCCCGCGGGACAACCAAAATATTTTGTCGGACAACCAAAAGTTCCAGGTTGCCAGCCCAATGGGCGACCACTTTTTTTCCACCAATACTCACACATATTTACACTTTATTTTAGTTCATGGGATTTTCAAATGTTCCAGAATCCCATGTGCACAGCGCCGCACAATAATCATGATGCCATTTTTGCATTTCCTGATTACCCATTAGAACCAGACTGAGTTCGCCTATGACAAACATGGGTCTATACTCCATTTGGGATGGGGCAGTTTTCAACACAACCTTCCATCTGATCAAATGGTAGCCCTAACAGTCCAGAGTCCTCCAATTTCAATACGATTTTGCACACCCCCTAGGGAGTTAGGGTTAACGAGGCATGGACAGGTGGTTTATATGGCATCACTGAATGTGAGTTTACTGACCAAAAATATCTACACAAATCTACTAGGTTGTTGTTTATACTGTAAAGTAATGGAAATAGTGTCAAAAGTTATGCAAGCAACTTCGAATCATAAAAATCGACCAAACATATCTCAAGAAAGGAAATAAGAAACAGTCAGACTTTTTTCTAATTCTACCTCCACAGTGCATGCTTTTCATGTCAGATGGCTGATGCATATGCTGTGATTGATAGGGCAATTACCACAGCTAATGGTCACTGACCCTAGGGACCATACAGCTGGTAGGAGTCACAGTATTGAAAACTGGTGAGAAGAATCCAGAGTATTGGGCTGAAGTGAATGGACTCAGCTGCTACGCTATCGCCATTTGAAGTTGGTAATCTACTGTACACATAAACCCATTGAGATCAATGCATAAACCACAAATAACAGCTTTGCTATTGAAACCCCTCAGCCAGAGTCAACTTATCATCCGGAAACCATGAGCCTTTAACTCAAACTGGTGACCTTGACCTTTGACCCCAGAACCAATGCCAACATGCCTGTACCAATGGGCAACCCCCTACCAATTATTATTAATTATTACTATTATTAATGGTTTATTTTATTAAACTTTCACGGCCATAAGGCCGAATTGCAGTTTAATTTACACACATTAAAAATTGTTATATATTAAAACTACAGAGAATTACATCGTATGAAAGATACATTAAAAAGGTAAATCACAACAAAATACACACAAGAAATCAAAATTAAAATCATTCAAATCCGACTGCGTAAAATACGCAGTCGCAGTCCCCCCACAGAGATGGCCGTCATTGAGTGAGCTTATGCATACCCAACCCACTTCATGTAATAAGTTAACCAGAAACTGTGACCAACAACGAATTCCTTCATCAACTCAGGAAAAAGAGGTCACATATCTTTGTTAATCAGATCAGTTAAGTAGGGAATAGAGCTACATTTGTACCTGTTAGTCCTACAGCATATTGTGCTGAGATGATCATTGTTCCTTAACCCATTGTTCCTAATCGGGGCAGCCAGTCTCTGAATTTGTGGGAAGTGAGTAGTGATTTGCCAAACACGGAACACAATTGTTCTCTGCGGCCGGAAAGTGGGGGAACATTGAGTTGGGAACATATTTCACTGTAAGACCTATTGAGACAATATTCATAAGACAAAATGATAAGAAAAGCCCTGCGCTGTAATTTTTCTAGACATTCCTCTTGCTTTTTTGATAAACATGAGTGCCAGACAGGGGTCGCATATTCTAGAGTAGGTCTGACATATTGAATGTACACAGTAACCAGATCTGTAATGGGGACACCACAATGTTTTAACTGACGTAGGAAAAACAATCTACGATTGAATATTTTACACATAGCATCAACCTGTTTGTCCCATTTGAGGTTATCTTCAGATAATTTTCAAACAGTCATTTCTTTCAATTGGTGAGTCACCGATATGAAGAAATGGTGACTGCGGTGAATTACGCTCAAAATTTATAAACAAAAAATTGCATTTTGATGGATTAAGTTTCATGTTATTAACAACAGACGATTGATGAAAACAGTCAAGTTCTTGTTAGACACCAAAATTTCATTTCTAACTCAAGTTATCATCCGGAAACCATTCACCTTGGTGACCTTGACCTTTGACCTTTTGACCTCAAAACCAATCCCAACTTGCCTATTCCTAAGGGCAACCCCCTACCGAAGTTACAATCTTAAACAACATTTCTCACTCAAGTTATGAACCGGAAACTAAGCTGCCCGGACGGTCGGACAGACATACGGACGGATGCCGTAGGTGATGACAAAACCCCTTGAGCCTCTCGGCTGAGGGGTAAAAAGGGGTACCAGCCAAAACAGAACGGCGCAGTCCGGCTACATCATGCGTTTTGCATACCGAATGCAATCCTGTGTATGCGTGTGTTTCCAATAATAATGACCGGACCACTGTACACCATGTACCAGCGTGGCGCAGAGCGCAGGTACCGTGCACGCAACCGCGGTCGGCCACTGCCGGTGTCATGGTCTCACTTCTCCGGCCACGCTTGCAATATGGCGATAGCGCAGCAGCCCAGTACAAAATATTTTGGTTGTCCTGCCCGGGACATCGGACAGCCAATTTTGCGAGCCCTGAGCCACTTCAGGTAAGTCAGCCATGTACATTATAAAGAAATCAGCCTTCGGTTTGGGGCAATATTAAAGTTCTTTATTGGGCAACTGAAAATGAAATTCAGGGCAACCAGATTTCAAGAACCCGTGCCCGAAGAGCAACCACATTTTTAAAAATTTCGCGAGGCCTGGCAGGCATAATCGATATCAATTAACACAATACCTCTCCAGTCTTAGATGATGCTACACCAGGCAGGTGGAGAGTGGCAGCAATTCTTGAACTGCATGGTCGGCTTGGTGGACCATCTGTCTGGCTTGGTGATTGGTTCTTGTCCTTATTTGGAGCAGATGCTTCCTTTGTGAGACCTCCATCCTTCAAGGTCTCCTTGTCAACATTACCCTAAAGACAGTGTATAACATTGAGGTTAGGGAGTTTCTTTGCTGCTAGCGTGTCCATCTGGTTTATTGTGCCCGTCTGCATAGGAGTTAGTTCTGCATTGAAGGCGGCTTTATTGACTTAAACACACAGAAAAACATCACCAGGAAGTCACAATGTGTTTGCCTCCCAAAAAAACGAGGGAAATGCAAAATGTACATGTACGGTGAATGAAATTAGATTCAAAGTTTCTCAAAAAGTAAATTTTTTCCCCCAACTTTCACTCGGGAGGTAACACACTGTGAATACAGTGTTTATACGTCGGTGAAGGGCAACACCTAATTTGATTTACATTTTAATTGGATGGTTGTGTTTACGTATCAAAGTCACATACATTTTACATAATTTATGAGTAAAGTGTTTGGAACGATTTCTCTTTCACATCAGGCGACTTTTAGTTTCCATTAATTGAGATGCTAGTAACAATATTACGAAGGCCTTCCTCGACAGTCCAATAATGTCCAAGATTGTCTGCCTTGAACAGAGCTCTGAAAGTCAGATGATTGAAACCCCCCCCCCATCACACACACATACACACCCACCCAAGTGTGTATTTGCCTGCAATTAGGGACCCCCTATTGTCTGTCTTTTGTTTGTACTTTAACTTTTTAGAAAGACCTCCCATATGTTTTGTACCAAATCCAAATTGGGAACCTCTCGGGAATTGGGGACCCTATTGTCCTCTATTGAATGCAGAAACAAACTCACACATACACAAAAGAAAACAAAAATTCTCAATTTTGCACCAGCTGGACTGCTGGGTGACCAGGAAAAAAATTCCCATCTGCCTGCCAGCACAGATGGTCTTTTGGCAAATTTGTTATCGCATGCCCTATGCAGATAATCTGAGTAGCAGACATGTGCAGAGCCACACGTTGAATATCTGATATATCCTAGCAAGCAAATTTTATGTGACCCCGCACGCCAGCCAATCAAAGTCAACTTTAGAAGTTGTGATGTTGCTTTGGTCAGAAATGTAAATTAGCTGTTGTTTGGTTAATTTGGCCGCCATATTTTGGAATACAAATGGAAGGTTCAATAGAAGGCACCCGCTGAACATTGCACCAAGGCAAATGATAAAGGGCACCAAGGCAAATTATGGAGGACACCAATGTATAATGAGGACACAAAAAGCAAAATAGTACCCACCTTGTCTGTACAAAACACGCTTTAAAAAAGCAAAAAAACACAACAACAACAACAACAACAAAAATGCGTCGCCGCATCACTTCCGGAACTTCGGACTGACCAGAGACTGACTATTTTTTTTTGGCCTTACCTCTGGGACAAGAACAAAAGACTCTTCGCCATCATCTGAGCTGGATTCAGTGGGCTTAGGTGGTAAATCTGTCCTGACTTCAAGGGGAATGAGGTCATAGCCCTCCAACTTCAGCTCATGCTGAGCAACTGATAGCACTTGCTCAACACCTGTTGAACAATAAACAATGAAATTACTAATTACAATTAAAAGGGTATTATGTCCTGGAATGTGCCCAAAACGCATTTTACACTGTTAATTGGAAAGGGCATTTAAAAGCAGGATATAAACGTCCAAAATTGAACTTTATTGCCACAAATTGCAGAAAAGCCTTCATTTTTGCTCCAATGTTTCTTTCTTCTTTTTCGTCTTCTTTCTGGTCTATCCCAAATCCGATAGACTTTGTGCATGATTTTTCTCCCATCTACTTGCATTCATCTTTGTCATACATCATTCAAAGTTAGCAGTGGCAAAGTCCCAACAGCAGAGTTGTGTCCCAAGGAGTGACATCATGATGACATCATTATGACTTCATCATGTGTCACATGACATCATCTTGAAGGTGCATTTTTCAATGGCCTTTTCAATTGGGTTGAAATTTTGTATGCATACCAAGACGTATAAAAGATGAATATTTAGGTGATGTCGTGATGACGCATCAACATTTTATGAATTTTTGATTTTTCTCATGAACGCAACTTGCTAAATTCAAAATTTTTTCTGGCAGGAACACGTGCGGAACGTTGCAATGACCTGTACGCCTGCCTGCCAAAGGTGTCTGCCAAAGTTCAAGAGAGGACAATGGGGCTGGTGGGTCTCTGACGCCACATCCATTGAGGCAATCACAGGGCAACGCTCGGCTGCATGGAAGATCTTTAGGACGGTCATGCTAGACAAAGAGGAGTGCAGACGTCAGATCTGGGGATCGAGCCCGAGTTGGCGTAGGCCAAGGCTGACATGCCCTTGCATAGCATCGCAGTTTTGTTACGTCATAATATGGTTGTGTTTTGGTGTGATTGACATCATCATGACGACACCCAAAATGCAATTTTTTATTTTTTATTATGTATTGTTTTGGTGATTTTGTGGAAAACACATAAGAGGCCAAGGTTTAGATTTTTGAGGAAAATTATGGGGTAAAACCGATGATGGCAACTATGCAGGGACATACATGTTGTAAAGCGAAAGTCTTCTGACTCCTGCATGCAATTTTTCCCCCTGGACTATATGCTACGGCCCCAACACAGGCCCAGGCCCACAATGCTTCACACATGTGCATGTGAAGGTGCGTCCATGTTGCTTCAGTGCAGAAGGGGGTTTTTCATTTTTTGGGTGTAAAATCGGTACTGTTTCCACACATTCTTTGGTTGACACACAATTAATACAGATGGAGTTTAGGATGAAACTGTACAGCGGTTTTGAGCACTGGGTGCATCATCATACCTCATAGTTCTAGGGATAGATGACGGCCGTGCGAGTGCCTTGTTTTGCACGGTTGCTACTGGAATATCAGGTAAGAAAGTCACATTTTATTTAAGTTATTTTATTTATCATTTTGTTTTACCAGGGTAGCCCCATCAGTTGTCTAAGAACCGTTCTCCTTGGAGGCCCTGGATTAAAACACTTAAACAATACATACAGTGTATATATACAGGACTATAGGCAATACATTAAAAAGTGGTTAGTTATTATTGAAACATACATATACATTAATTTAAGAAAGAATATTAAAAAAATATGGGGCCCAAGCACAAGTCCGATGCCTCATAAGTCAGAAATATCGGACTTATGAGGCGCCGGACTTATGAGGCAAATAATTGATTTATTCTGCCTCATATTCCAACTGGAAACGAGGCGTCAGACCTATGAGGCATCATGCCATGGACGGTTATCAGAATAGGTTCATTTGTCCGACAAGGCAAGAAAGAGATTGAAAAACAAATTCACGACGTTTTACATCCGCAAGGTTGTCTACTTACAAACGTTGCACTGTGCATAGCATGATTTAACTGGCCACAGATCAGTCCGCCAGAGCGCAATTTTAAGCCCAAGGGTTGATGTTACGGGCCTAAACCGGTTCTGGGGCTATGGGAAAATGTGCACAAAACGATTCTTGCAACAAGGCAATTAATTAAGGCGGCCTTGAGTGTTTTTTTTTTTCTCCAGATCTCTGTACGCACTTTATAGTTTCTGTTGCCTCAATTGCTAGATAGCATGTGGACGGCTCGGGCCTTGGATAGCTTGTGGAGCTTAAATAAAAAAAGAGCTTTGAAATTAAAGTTTCACAAACGACCCAAGTACGTGTGCCGAGGCCTGCTACGTACATGTAGGCTGCGCTGCCGGCCCTTCAGTCACCCGAACGACCTGGCCCTGTGCGCGGCAGGCCGTGGGCATAATGCAGCTGGCCGGGTGCACTCGGACTTTCTTTCAAGCAAACGATGCACGGCCGGTGACAGTGCCACGCCTGGCCGCCCAGCCCCATCCCACCGGCCATCGGCGGTGCACGGCCGGTGGCAGCACACCCTTGGCCGCACAGCCCCACAGGCCATCGGTACGGTGCATGGCCGGTACGGTACACGGCCGGTGGCAGCGCGCCCTTGGCCGCACAGCGCCAACAGCCATCACCACGGTGCACAGCCTGTGGCAGTGCTGCCCTTGGCCTCACAGTACACCCCCACCGACCATCGGTACGGTGCACGGCCGGTGGCAGTGCCGCCCTTGGCCGCACAGCGCCAACAGCCATCACCACGGTGCACGGCCTGTGGCAGTGCCGCACTTGACCGCACACGGCCCCACCGGCCATCGCCACAATGCACAGCCGGTGCACCGGTGACAGTAGTGCCGGGCCTGGCCGCACAGCGCCAACGGTGCCGTTCTCCATAAAAACAATTAATAAATAAATAAGTCTGTAATCGTAAGGTCTAGGATGTCACTGACAGTGGAATAACGGCAAAGCAGCATTTAAATATTTTACATGTAGGCGCAGCCCAATGTGGATTTTTGATTGTCCACGCAACTGTACCTCAGCTCAGCGAAGGGGTGTTACACAAAAATGCGATCTTTTTTGCGTACATTTTCCCATAGGGACCGAGCTGGTTATGGACCGAGTTGGTCACCGACCGAGTCTGTCACGGACCGAGTTGGTTACGGACTGAGTTGGTCACGGACCGAGTTGGCCACGGACCGAGTCAGTCATGGATCGAGTTGGTTACGACCGAGTTGACTCGGACCGAGTTGACCTGAAAGCTGTAATTTACAGTGCAACCAAAAAGACACATTTCTTATATTATTTTGGACTTTTTTGGTCATAGGCCTAACTTTTAAAATCTGACATCATGAAAATTATCTCTGTTGATTGGGATTCTCAGAATAACAATATCATTGGGATCTACATTTAATAGGTAGGCCTAGGCCTATTAAAATATGTATCAAATGTATTTATGTAAACTGGTAAACATTAGCTTGAGTAACTCCAGCTTAACAAGCTCATCAGGATGTTAATTTCCGACGAGCTTGTTAAGCTTGAGTTACTAAAGCTATGTAAATAGGTATAGGGCCTAGGCCTTTGTAATCATTCAACCGTTAGGATATTGAATATAATCTTGAAATTATGAAAAGTGTATTGGCATTGAAAAAAGAAAGGAAAAAGAAAGAAATTATGTTTGAAAAGCTCAAGGAAATATATTTTCCTAAGCCAAGAAGTCTAAGTTATTAAAAAAATGTTTATTTTTAATATTATATCGAGTTACATGGCCTGGACAGCATAGTCTGGTTCCCAGACCTGACAATTATTCCCGACGCTCACGTCTTAAATTGTAGGTCAGGCAGCCTCCGTGGCTAAAAATAAGCATGACATTAATGGCCCTTTTTCAAAGGTTTCCGATTTCGCTTTATCACTTGTAGCTTTTAATGTTCTGATCAATAAATAAATCACTTGCTTCGTAATATCATACAGTTATGATAAAACAGTTTGATGTTATTGTAAGATAAAATTGAGTAATGTTGATCTGGAATCTTCAAAATTAGGGAACCAAATAGCACTGTTAGCAGGCAGAGCCGAACGGTCGTCAAATTCAAAATTGTACATGACGCAGCAAAAAGTTCGCCCGAATGAAAACCGAGTTTTGGAAAATCTCGGTAACGGTCGTCAAATTCAAAATTGTACATGACGCAGCAAAAAGTTTGATGCACAAAATCGTCGTTGAATTTCAAGTTTTCTATATGAAAACAATGAATATTAATTATCAACTCATTTAAAATAAAATTAATAAGCAATTAGCAGTTAATTAACCTATATTATATACTCGGCGCTATCCGATTGTCGACGAAACGACTTCGGCAAACTTCAGAAATTTTCGGAAAAAGGAGGAATTCCTCCCGTTTTAGTCACGTGATGTAAATTGTAATACATTGTATAACCGGAGCTACCGCAACCTCGTCCCCAGTGCTTACTTTATTTCCAACACGGTTTCCAATAGTAAACCCTGGATAGGAAACTTTGTTCCTGTATCCTGATTCGATACCGCAATTGGCTAGTAATGGATTTTTATCGTGTACTTGGTGTTGTTATTCACAACGGGCAGTACGGGTTTTCGCGATCATTCGTCGACGCCTTCTCAAAAATATTAATTTCCTTTCAAGTTTGTTAATATTAATATGAAATGTGATACTGCATATTGTTTTTAAGATGGTAACAGTTTAATTGAATAAAAATAGTGTTTTCGTAACTCACGCCATGCTCGCGCTGCTATGAATTGACTGTGTTTTTACCCCAGACACTGCATACAAAAACAAATGCTAATGTAACGCACATGCAGGCACCAGACTATTCCTCATTTGCATACGTGTTCAAAAATCTTGCACATGCAAATGACCCAATAACAGGGTGAGAGAACAGGTAGTGATGGGCGCGTAGTCTGCTCGACACCCTGGGTAAGAGGTTGAGGCTACCCAACCTCGTCACGATTTTTAAAATTAAATGTTACGATCTTATCAAGACAACATGCAGTATCACATTTCATAATATTATGAACAATTTGGGAAGGAAATGAGTGAAAACACGTACTGCACGTTGTGAATAACAACGCCATGTACACGATATAAATCCATAACGGTATAGAATCAGGATACAGGAAGAAAGTTTCCTATGCGGGGCTTACTATTGGAAACG